ATACGGTGCCGGGAAGCATAATCCATGCCAGGAGTAGATACATTTCTTTTCAAAACATTGTTATAATAGAGTATTTATCAGAACAGAATAGAACATATACTTTATTAAGACTTGAACCAGTCTTCTATTCGATTAAGATTTAAAGATAAACAATGGACACATATTATTTCTTCCCTAGGTACATTATGGTATCTTCCAACTTCAATATGTAGCAGGAATCTTTATCTTCTTCGCTTGTTTATTTCAGATGTATTTAATTCGAAAAACATTGCTATAATATTTAAGTTGCAAAGTGACACCGAACTATCATACACATATTCGTGATGGCAGGTGCGCAGGTTAGAGTTAACTTAATCCTGAAGGGTCTTGTGAACAACATCATCGGGGACATCACCTACACAGACCATGTGTCTGAACTTCTCAAATTGTCTTAAACTCGACGTAGATTGACAGAAATGTGATTTACTATGGATAATGACAATTTAATGTCGAATTCAAGAAAATGTATACTGAAAATGAAAACGTATAGCTGTATTAATATTTTTGTGTGTGCCCAAATTAAGGAGCGTCCACGTTAATCCTGTTTTCTTTGTAATTTGTCAGAGCCTCCGAGTGAGGGGCCCCGTGTTCATTTAACCATAACATTACATTGCAAGTACCGCGAAGGCTACGCTCATTAAACCGAGAAGTGTCACGATTTTAGCCTTCCCGGCAATGAACCGTAAATACATGCTCATTTTCTTGTGTATAACAATTTGCAATCAACAGACATCATAACATGTCATGTGTACAAGTATCACACGTGCCTGTCTGTGTAATTACATAATGTGACAGAGACTGAACTCGGGCCATAAATCAATGCGTTTTGTTTATGGTGTATAGCCTGATAGGTGTTAAGTTCAAATTGCATGTGGTCAGTGATCGAACTTGTGTATTGAATATTGTCATCTGTGTGCTTCTTGTAAATGATCAAATTAATCTAGATACACTTATGATTCAGTAAAAAGGGAATTCATTTGAGTATTTGCTTCAATCCGCACATTTTTGGACAACACAATCAATTTTCTATTGACAAGTTCTTGAGATTTTCGTGAATACGCCAATTGCATAACACCGTTATTGAGCACAAACTCAAATGGCCTCTCCCTTGTGACAGGTGGAGAATGTATTCTACTACGGTTAGTTCCCATGAAGCAGAATTGTAAAAACATAGGGTGATTACCTCCAAGACCTGGTGATCTCGAACAAAGGCCAGTTAATGTTTTAGCAGGCACAAGGTTGATACGAAAAGTTGAAGGTCTAAAGAAATTAAATAAGCCTAAACTGATATTTGCCATTTTCATGACATAATATATTTGGTGTTGCCACAATTAATCCTCACAAGATGAAACATATCATGTGAAATATATCTCAACTATCATTTGGAGGGCCTTTTCAACGATCTTCTTAAATCTGCCATGCCAACAACCCAAGTAATAATAAGATACATAATGTCAAATCATGTATGACCTATTTCAACTTATTACTGACCCAAGGAAGGTCACCCAAAACTCTAGCACTTTGTTAGATATTAGTAGATTAGTAGGTTAATCAATAACTTTGGCGAGACGTAGAACGTATCATCCCCATAGACGTTGAGTGAGGACATGAATCAGTATAATTATAATCTCAGTGAGCTAAACTCAGTAAATTAACTCAGTAAATTCGATCATATTTCAAAACAAGTTCAGAATTTTATAGCACCCAGTGTCTTAATCCCGTATAACAACACCAACGCAACATGAACGAGATTATACTGTAATAACAAAATCCTACTTCACGGAATACCCCATTACATTAAGCATGGCACGGGGTTCACTTTTATGGCATGTAATACACTCAGTCAGTCAGTATGTCTGGTACACTGTTACATAGTCCTTATAGCATAGGTGTATGGAATTTGTATTCATACGAACATTGAGAAGGGGAAAAAATTAAACATATCTAAGCTTTGTGGATAACAACTAAAACATACACTTGAAACTGACTTTTGAAAATGCTCGCCATACTAGCGGTAAATAGAACAGTCAATATCAATTTTTGACACATAGAACAAGAAGAATGCAGATGAGTGAAGTTTAACTAATATATAGAATTGGTTCCTAGTTGGTCGCATAGGACGGTGAATAGCAAACACTTACTCTAAACATAATCCCAACTTAAAAAAATGTATCACTTCATGTGAGAAGCAGTTGCATTGATATCAAGCACAAAGGGATAATACGAAAATATGGCTTATTCCTGCAGTTTTCATGAATAAATATGTCACATGCAAGATACATTATGTATATCAACAATAAGAACTCTAACAGATCAAAAGATTCGTGAAATAGTTCAGTCTATACACCCATGGGAAAAAAGAGAAATTGAAAGAAGTAGTGGTAAAATCCTTCCTAAATTTCCCAAAATTTCCAAGCCTTGGAAACGTCATCTTTCCAATTTTGGAATTTTTTTGGAAATCACCATTTTTTTTCTTGTGATAGATCTGGTGGTGTACTGGTGCCTTTTGGTAGTTTTGGAATTTTTGGCATTTCCATGGCAACAAGTTTGACTAAAACTGAAATTGGTGGTAGTGCTCTTTTCTGGAGTAGAACTCTAAAACCGTTCAATGTTTCTTCACCAAACTTGGCACATAGATTGTACTGGTGGTGTACTGGTGGTGTACTGGTGCCTTTTTGGTAGTTTTGGAATTCTGAATAAAATATTTTTGGCATTTCCATGGCAACAAGTTTGACTTAGACTGAAATTGGTGATAGTGCTCCTTTCTGGAGCAGAACTTTAAAAACCTTTCAATACTCTCCTCCCACTTTTCTATATACACACCAAAATATTTGACATAATCATAACTCATAGACATAATCATGAAGAGTAGTTTGCCATTGCGGGGGATATTGATGACTTTGTCTTCTTGTTGAAATTCAATACTCCCAGTAATTATCCGATTTTTACACTTCAAAACATAGAGCAAATAAAGCTGTGAATCGCAATAACATTTACGATGAAGTCTATTTTGAAAGGTCTTCTACAACACTTTAGCTTTATCTGAGATAATAGTGGATGGTATCAAGAAACAGGGAATTTCCTGCAGAATTTGAAACTGGGAAGTATATTTGTGTGTGAGATATATTTAGAATTTTATTGGACTTCAAAGTAAGAGTTGAGGAGGAGGGACATATATGTCCCTGTGGCACCCAGGGGGTTAAAGGGGGATTTCTGACCTTATAAGTATTATTTGTTATGGCGGTGTGCTATTATGCTCAGGTCAACTTCTTATTGTTGATTTTGTTTCACATTGACTGTCATTAATAGTTGCCTTTTAGAATTGACATTGGTATATTTTTAATACATTCATTAGGAAATGTGTAATTGGTTTTACCTTTGTTGGCAATGTGTAATTAACAGTCCTAGAATGACTGGTTTGACTTGTATGGATCCTATTGGACCCCAGTCCCTTGGTTATACGTAGAGGTGTGGAATTAGCTGTACATTTCTGTATCTGTGGTTGTGCTGTCATAGAGACTAATTATGGACAGTCATCGTCCAAATATTTAAAAAGTTAAAACTATGTACTCAAGACATATGAGACTTCATTTAATTATTTATATGATGCTAATCTGTATTCTATGTAATCCTTATCACTTCCGCATTTTACATTGACTTGTCAGGCAATTAATTATTGTATATGACATTTATAGCCTTAATTGGTCATCCCACTTGACCGTGTCTCCCATCACATCAACTGGTCAAGGAAGTGCTATTGTTTTTCTATCTGTCCATTGTTGAGTCGTCGCCTGTCCATTGTTGTCAAAAACTGTCTATATATGCTCACATCTATATTGTCAAAACAGAGAACGAGTCCTGTATTCCAACTGTCTGTGTTGGGACGACCACTAGCAGGATAATGCCGCTCATTCGAAACACCCTGGGGTTGAGCAGGTACTCCGCTCATCTCATTTATGAGATACATACAGTTATGAGGATGTAGTTGGAGCTTTAGAGAAGCATATTGCTCAACAAAGAAGTGTAATACTGGGGCATTGACATTTTCATTACACAGAACAGTGGCAAGGGAAGGGAACTGGTCAGTTCTTGGGCCGAGTGAGCCGACTGCTTCATGTCAGTTTGGAACTCATGACTTTTTGATTGAGAAACAAACCTTTAGCAAATAATGAAGCTGAAAACCAGTAAAGACAAAGCAAACATGTTGAGAAGGAGGTTAAGTGCCTGGTTTTGACTGTCGAGTTGAACAGCTTACCAAAGACTGTGAACCTTGTGTCATCAGTGATAAACCTTCTAAACCTGTGCCTGTTACTTGAACTAAAGAACCATATGACCAATTGCAAGTAGACAATTTTGGTGAAGTTCATGTTCACCCACGACAAGAGTTTGCATGACCTACTCCCAAAGTGTACTGTAATTTCTGCTACTGGAACTGTCACAGACATTCTAACCAACCTCTTCACTAGATGGTGTTTACCAGAGGTCATCTCAGACAATGGTTCATGCTCTCACCAGGAAAATGGCAGACAGACCTAGGTGGCCATCCCATGAATTTGATGCAGAGGCTTGGGATATTTTTGGATCCCATTTTTAAGAAACCCATTAATATGATTTCAGTGTGCACCTGAAAAGAGGTTTTGGAATAAATTTCACCATTTGTGGATGCAGTTGTTTGCTGTACAAGTCTGTTAAATTGATTACTGTTGAACACAACAATCACCCCAGCCAAAATATGTTAATCAACACTTAGCACATTTTACTCAAGATCAACTGTCTCACAATATTTAATATTGGATAAACATCCATTCTGTTTAGAAATGTCAGTACATTTATGGCTTTTAAACCAAATTGTGTTCCTTTGTCTTTTTGTGCTGACATCTGATAGAGCATCTTCACTTGATTGGTCTACCTCACTTTTCTGCTCTGCTATGATGATACTATACAGATGTGTATACTCACAGGTATGTCCAGAGACTTGTCTGAACCTTCACAGAAGCCAAATAGACAAGCCAGTTCACAGACTTCTTCAAGAAAGGATGACTTCAGCTGCATTCAGATCATTTGAGCTTCTGATGAAGGTAAAAATGTATTTAGACCAATAATGTCATGCTTTTATTATTGGCATCGATACAGCAGGTGAATGAATCCTATGAGGCAGAGGGCATATATATGTACATGTAAGACCAACAAAAGTAATAAAACCACAAAGATGGAGGCTGAGCAAGGGAAGTCAATTGTTAACTGGCGCTGACTATATCAGCTCTTTTTACTCTTAAGTGTTAGCTTCCATTTGTCATTGCCAATCAGCTATCACGCCAGCTAACTTTTGGCTTCCCTTGATTATAATGATTCTGTGAAAGACATGCTCATAATATGTCTTCACTAATTGTTTACTTACTGCATGGTAAATTATGCAAAGTTCAGCAACAGGAACAAGGAAAGGGTTCTTGGATCAGTGGGCCAGTATTTGCATCATGTATGGCAGTATTGTGTCTGTACATGCCAACAAGTCAGGAAGTATTCGTAAAGAACGAATTGACGTCAATGTACCTAAATTCTAACAATCACAAAATACAGCCCCAAATTCCAAATCAGTCAACAAGGTAACATTTGTCACAACTGTTATTGGAATGGTCTCTACAGTCTGATAATCGAGTGCTATTCAAAGCCTGTATATAAAGCAGCAAACATAATTTGTACTTCCTCAGTATTCCATGAAATATAACAATATATGTTAGATGTATTTAGAAAAGATATGTTTTAAGATTATTCTTGCATGAATAAATGATAAAACATATTTCATGATTTACTATATTACATTACCGACAATTGTTCGATGGGCTTCTTGTCATTTGTTAGAAGACAAAATGTGTTAACTTTTCAAATGATCAAAGCATACAATGATGCAAAATCATTGACATTCCCAGTAACATTTATCGATTTATGGTAAGACAAGCATTTTTACAATTCTTTGACATAATTAAATACAACACTTTCCTAATATCACAAATGTTCTGCACAAATTTCAGATCTGTATTACTTATTAAGGGGTCGATCATATAACCGGCATGTATGTATTTTCTTTTGAGGGGTGAGTGAGCAAATATTCATAGAATTACTTATTTCAACATATGCAGTAATAATAAAGTCTGAACTGCTGTGTTTTAAACATATTTCATTAACAGTCTAGGTGGGAGAATGTGATGTAATCCTTGATAAAATAATGTTCATGTTTTAGAGTAGGACTCATTTCAATGTTGAGTGGTGCATTAGATACATTTCTTGTCCAACCTCACAAACCGTGCCCCCTTCAAAAAAATTAAAGTTGTGTTTACAAATAGGGCCTTGTTCGGATGTGCAAATAGGGCCTTGTTCTATGATATATTGATATGAAGGCCTTATTGATATGAAGACCAATGTCAACCAATGTCGAATAGAGAGGTACATGTATCATGTTCCTTTGCATTCATGATTTTGAGGCCAATGAGATTTGTTTTGTAAAGGACGACAGTTCGAAATTGTGTAAGGTAAGTATATTTCGTACCCTACGACCCAAACATCACCATCAAACGGTGCTTTATGGTCTAGAATTGTATGAAAATAGACATTTTATGTTTGGATAGGGGTATCCCAGTTGTTGACAGACCTGTTGGCGTAGCCTTGTCATCAGATATACATGATACATGTTATTTATAAGACGTGATGCCTGTTCTTTGTTCTTATCTTTTTTTCTCTTTTTTGTGTGTTTTGATTTATATTTTCTATCTTAAAGAACACTTTGCTAGCTGACACTCTGGAAGCTATGAAACTTAATGCTTATAAAAAGCTGTCACTACCAGTGAAAAATAGAAAGAACATGAATTTTGTTCAGTAATAATCGTTTGTGAATTAATACCTCACACTGCTCCAGTGCAATTTAGGTTTTTAATTATGTTAGCTGGAGGTTTTATGCCACAAGATCAATGTTAACTTTGTTTGATTTATTTCAATAGATTGATAATTTTTTATGTGAATTTCACTATGCAGAAAGACGACCAGTTTGCAAGGAATAGCCAGATGGATAAGGCATTCTGCGAAATGGTTTCTAAACATCTCCAAATGTACTGGCCAGAAAATGCAGATGAGGAGAAATTGATTCTTCACATCGTTACTTGGAGACCCTTGATCAGTTACTTCAGTCGTTTCAGTAAGTCATTATAAAGTAAGCAGATCACCATTTGCTTACCTGGTAAGAGTGACCTCAGAGCAAGGCATGCTCTTTTGTCATTTATCGTATCAATCAAGGTTTTACTTGTAGGTGTAGGCTGAAGGTTTTAGTCTGAACCATATTTTGATCATTTGATACATAGATCATGGTGTTAATGTTTGCATTGTTTTGATTGTCTTCAAAATATTGTTTTTAAATCTTTAGTAATTTACTCTTTCTCTGACACCATAAGGTCTAAAACTCTAAAAACATTGACAAGGATTTAACATGCTGCAATATAGTGGGCATCATAGTTGTTTATGTCAGTTAAATAAAAGTTTTTCCAAACCAAATGTGTTAAAACTGTCTAAAAATGTTCATGAGCATAATTCGACTTTGAATTTCAGATTTTATTTGATTTTACAAAAATATATAAAATTTATTTAATGAAAGAGTTTAGGCATGACATCACCATAATAAATTTTAGTCATACTGGTAGTTTCTTTAAAAATGTCTTCTACTGTCTTCCCCTCATTGCTGTAAACCTCCTGACAAGGTTATGCATCTCAGTGGATAGTTTTCAGAAAACTATTACAAACACAAACAAAATGGAATCAACTTTAGAAGAAAAGAATATAACATCGTTTCACTGTTATTTTGCCTCATATGCCATGCTTATCTTTATTCCTAATCTGGAACCCATTGTAATAATCATGGTAGATTATAGAAGTCACATGTTGCCCTTCCATTGTTGTAACAAATGTTCTAAACAATTTTATGAATGTGAGGGTTTGAATGACAGTATCACTAAACAACTAACAACATAAGCCATATTACTTTAAGCCGTATGTATCAGGGCTCTATATATCTGTGATAATATTATCTTGGGAATCAATAAAAAAATAAAAACAAAACAAAACAAAAAACTAAACAACTAACAGCATAACTGGAATTTGTAAAGTATATACACCTGAAATGATTTGTCAGAGACAACCGTAGACAAAATGACATACCCATGGATAGGAATCAGCAAGTGAACGAGGCTGCAGTGGGCACAGAAAGTATATGATGACACATGTTATAGTTACCAAAAGGCAAAGTACTGACAGTGCAAACCTGTCTAGTCTTGTCCCTTTGAATTGGATAAGTTTGTGACAGGTACTACTTTCTCAAAATGCATTTTCTGGTACTGAAAACTTTATCTTCTGATAAACCTGATGACCTATGAAGTTGAACTTCACATGCATGCCTTGCAGACAGATCATTCGTAATATTTGAAAACTTGATCTCTATAATGAAAAATATACAATTATATCTTTTAAATTTCTACTACTGTTTATATGTGAAAATCTATGCCATTTGATTGTAACATAAAGACTTTTTTAAGATATAAAAGATAATGTAAGACATAAGTTTAAGTGTTATTACAGGTGCATTTGATTTGAATAGTTTCTGTATGTCAACATGAGTATAAAATGAGATTATCTATTTTATGTTAGGTTTTGTATCCAGGTATAAAATGATAGTGTACTTAAGTCTGGTCCTGAATCCTTTATCATATATTAGGAATATTGCCGAGTCCAATAATAAATTGTCAAAATTCTTTTTATTACCATACCTCTTTTACAGCATATTTTTGTTCATTTCTTTGATGCTGCACTATTAAATGATAACACTGATAATTCTTTTGAATACCCTACCGCTATTACGTAAGGACAAAATTCTTGCAATATGGCAATGATGTTATAGTGGTTTGTATTCCTAAAATTCTACACAATGATAACCATACTTTGTTTACTGATCATCTTTTTTTCTCTATAATGCATTTTTACTCTATGAAATTGCCAGATTGATGAATACGAACATGTATCTGTCTATAGTTTCTTGATCCAGACATCAAATATCTTTCAAATCTAAGCATGTTAGTGTGTTTTTGTGAAAAGGTTGCCAGGCATTAGAGAAAAAACATTCTTCTCAATGTATGGCTCAGGTTTAAAACTTTGTCATGAGCAAATGTAACAGTTGTACATCATGTACATTGTATTATATGACTATGCATTATTTTTGAAGAATTAAAAACGTAGAAATTTACTCACATATATCGCAATTGCTCATGATTTTTCCTTGGTATTAAGACAGGATAAAATATTTTAATAGCATTGCTGACAGTGACTATTGTTGCCTATTTCAATTGATGACTGTATTCTGGTGAGCTACAACTCTATGACACTATTGCTTTAATTATCCCCCACGTTTAGCGCGAAGCGGGGGATATAGTATTAGGCTCCGTCTGTCAGTACGTACAAATTGGAATATCTTAAGAACCATTGACTGGATTCTCTTTATACTTGGTATATCAGTTCATCACAGTATAAGAAAGGTCCCACACAGGTTTGGTGACCTTGACCTTCATTTCAAGGTCACCAGGGGACTTTAACGTTTTACCCTTGTCAGCAAGATATCCCAAGAACCGTTCACTGGATTTTCTTCATATTTGATACCAAGCTTCATATAGGAAAGGTGCAGGGCCCAGTGGATTTTGGTGACCTTCCAATTGTTTTTGAGGTCACGACGATACTTTGAAGATTTCAGCATGTTAGCCTGCATGTTAAGCTTGTCAGCGAGATATCTGAAGAGCCAATCACTGGATTTTCTTCATGTTTGACAGCAAGCTTCATATAGTGAAGGCGCAGGGCCCAGTGGATATTGGTGACCTTCATGACATTTTCAAGGGCACAGCGACACTTTGAAGATTTCAGCATGTTAAGCTGCATGTTAAGCTTGTCAGCACGATACCTCAAGAGCCAATCACTGGATTTTCTTCATATTTGACACCAAGCTTCATATAGGGAGGGCGCAGGGCTCAGTTGAGTTTGGTGACCCGTACGTAATTTTCAAGGTCACAGCGACACTTTGAAGATTTCAGTATGTTAAGATTGTCAGCAAGATATCTCAAGAAGAATTCACTGGGTTTTCTTCATAGATTTCAAGACTTCTCTTGAATGTATTTTTGTGCCCCGCTGCAACATGGAACGGGGGACTATGTATTCAGCGGCGTACGTATGTCCCGATTCTTGTTAACGCGATATCTCATGAACTGTTTTACCCAATGTCTTCAAATTTGGTGACGGGCTACATTGGGGGATTATGCAGACACCAGTTGGTTTGGGTGACCTTGACCTTTTTTCAAGGTCACCATGACACTTTGACCACTTTTCAAAATGTTGTTAATGTGATATCTCATGCATTGTTGTATCCAATATCTTCAAATGTGGTGACAGCCTACATTGGGGGGATTACCCAGACACCATTTGATTTGGGTGATCTTGACCTTATCTTCAAGGTCACCACGACACTTTGACCACTTTTCAAACCTATTTAAACGTGATATCTCATAAAACATTGCACCCAATGTTTTCAAGTATGTTGACAGCCTACCTTGGGTGATTATGCAGACACCAGTCATTTCAGGCATCTTGTATGTGACCAAAAAGTAAAAAATAGTAAATATAGATATTCCATTCTTTAGCGGCAAGGGACATTGCCATATCAGTGGCAAACACATGTTTGATAAGCAATTTCTCTATTACTAATTTTTGCATATTTCATACATCATGACATTCATGTCAAGGTCAAAGTGAGTCTTGAAAATATTTGTGTGTTTGAACAGCTACAGAGCAGAGCAAAATATCAAGAGAGGTTGACTGGTCATGTTTTTGTTGACAGTTAACCTCATCTTAAACTACGACCTTCACTTTCATTACTCTTTAAGTTTGATTTGATAATATGCGGCGAGGGATGATGTCACTTTAGTGACAACTGCTTGTTATCTCTTGAATAGAAACATTGGGACAAAAGAACAGTTTGTCACTGCAGACAAGTAGCTATCAGGTATCATATTTATTATATTAAGATTGAGAATCAGATAATTTTAATATACAATTATCTCAAGTTAAAGTCAAAGAATTCTTATGATATATTTTTGTTCATTTGGTGATATAGTTGGTGATCCTGACGCTTACGACTTGTTGGTGTATGACTGCTCACAACATCTGATGGAAGCTGTCTCTTTGCTGGACAAAATAGCAGCATCTTTGTCAAAGGGAGACAATTCAGTGTGGCTGCTGAAACTGATTCTTTCCAACAAGAAGAATTTTATTGAACTTTGGGCAGCATCAAGGCAAGGAGATGAATTACACATCAGCATGGAACACACTCTTAATGTTCGTGAGAAAGAACTCCAAGCATGCCAGATCTATCTGAAAAGAGCTCATGTCCTACTCATCATGTGTACTGATATCATTGAAGGTAAGAAAAACACATTCTTGAAGCAGTAGAAGCAGTATCATGAGGAGTATATCAATGGTCAGGGGCTAATACAGCTTTTTTAGAAAAGGGGTTGGGGGGTGGGGGCACAGTTCATTTTCACCCGTTGTCATGAGAGTTTCAATGGTCATTTAATAACCTTTCAGGACTCTGTGTGTGTGGTGTGTGTGTGTGTGTGTGTTGGGTGTGTGTTGGGTGCATGCATGCATGCGTGTGTGGATCCGTCTATGATGGTTTTACTGCTTCTGTTAATTGAATTTATCTTGCCAACAGATTTTCAATCTGCCATTGTGAAAATATGCAATGATTAAATTAAAGCAAATTGAAAGTTGACAGAAACAGCTGTTCGATTTAGCTGATATTATCTTTACTGTATCATGTGACTCATCATGAAGTGTTGCTTAAACTTCATAGCAGGGTGAAGAGGTATGTTGCACATGCCACTTCTTTGTGTATGGGTGAAATAGATGTATTCTCTTGCTCAGAAATGTGTTTTCCTCCCATGCCAGATACTTGGTACTTTGTCTAGATCACATAAACCAATCAGATCTCACCATTTTGACATGGACGTAAGATACCATGTCAAGTACAGCTTGTATTACCTTTCCACCTGTACCATATTAACTTTGTAAGTTTGACTTGATTTTTTTCCAGAGTTAGCATTGATTAGCCTTTATCCATAAAGTGAGATGAATTATGGGAAGTCATAATCTCATCCTTTAGAATGCTTAAAGGGTTTTTAGAGTTCTTTTTGTCATGTTTTTAGACTTGTGATCTCATAATTTATCTCTGTATTAAAACACATGTTCATGTTTCATATCCAGTGAATACAGATGAATTATCAAACAGAGTAAGAGAAATAGAAGAAAGGATTGACACTGAAGTGTTGTGTACTCTGTGTCATCCACAACAAGAATGTGAAGCTGGGGAAGACAGCCTAGATTCCTATGAACCAATCATTTGTATCTCAGAAATCCCAGAGAAAATCATGGAAATGGTTCCTCGACTTGAGAGGTTGAATGAAAGTCTGATCTTTAGGGAAATGTGGAGACATGAAGGAGCAAGCATTGCCCCTGGAACAAAGTTTGAGGAAGCTGTCTTGAAAGTATGGCAGAAGTCCAGTCAGAGATGGTGCAATCTCTGCAAGAAGATGCAGGATGGAACAGAGACATTCAACAACATACAGGAACATGTGAGAATATTTCAAGGTGATGAAATTAAAATAACAAAAGAGTTCCAGGTTATGAGTGATGGATCTTCAGACTGGATTCCTAAGAGAATTAAGCAACTCCAGAGCTTTGAGATTCTGCAGGGTTGTCAGAGGGCTGCTGAAATCATCATGAGTATAAAGGAAATATACTCTATTGAAGGAAACTTTGCCCCAGTTGAGGCTGTGAAACAAATGGTATGTTATGGAGTTGTGACTTATACAAATATGGGAAGGAATGATGATTTTAAGGGGTGGTCACCCATTTTGTTTTATGGGAGGGGTCAACAATTGTGTACACATGTACTGGGGTGGGGGCAGCAATTTTGTACATGAAAATATTAAACAATTATGGTGGGGTAATTGATTTTGTATGTGACATGCAGGGGGGGTCACTTACTTTGTACATAAATTTGATGGGGGCTTTCTCATTGTACATGTTTCTCCGTAAAAGTGATCATCATCATCATTACCACAACCACACACGCACGCATGCACGCTCGCTCCCACACACATGCGCACACACACACACACACACACACCTAGCCATAGATTATGAACAGTCTCTTATGCTACTGATGAAATTCTTTGGGGTCTTTTGATTCACTGTATCTGAATTGTATTTAGTGATTCTAAGGGTTTGAAACCTATGGTTCAACTTATGACTTTCCATGTGGGAGATGGCCATTCAGTTCTCAGTGCCTTATTGCAGACATCACTACCCACTATGTTCTGGCATTTTTACTGTGTACAACTTGGAAACATTATGATCAAGGTCTATTAGAAATCATTATCTCTAGGTTGACATCTCTGAAATGTATTTTGCAACAAGCTTCTGTTCCAGCAGATATATGACATCAGCCCTATGCATTTTGCCACTTAGATGCATGTATAATTTTCTTGAAAATTCTATTTTACCTGTTTTAACTCCTTTGGTGAAAAACTTATTCAACAGCATTAAGTTGTTCTTTAGGGAAGTTTTAATGACTACTATTTTAAGATATGAGCTGAATTAATTGAATTATTAATTTTATTTTCAAGGGAAGTGGCAAAGACCACCCAATAAACACAATGGATGACTCTGTGTTAGAGACTTGTTCCATACTCCATGACATGAATGATTCCCAAAAGCAAAGGTGTATTGAAGCCTTCGAGAATAGCAGTCATCTGGTGAATTGGCTCAGAGCATCCATGAAAGGTAAATGAATCTTGTTACTTTAATATGTACAGGACAACATTGTTAATCAGCCCCATGTAATCAATTAAGCATGTAATCAATTATGCTTTAAAGTTTTGTCAGAATTTGACTACCAATACACTAGCTAGCACTTTGTTTATGTTACCATGGTGAGCTGTGACTTCCCAACAATATTCTTTGAATTCAAAGATATATAATGGACAAGATCTTTCGAATTTTCAGCAGATTCTCTGACCTCTGAAAAATCAAGGTCATTATCAATTTGTGAATATACAAACAGTTTATGTGATTAACAATACATAAGCACTGACCTTTCTTGAATGAATTTTATGTCAAAGGTTGTTCACACTTTGAAAAAGACTTTGAAATACTGCATTTACTGTTTGCTACAGTGATGAATCTTTCGTTGCACCAGATATGCTTTTAATGTTATTTTAGCTGGCAGCGCATGGTCGTGAATGAAGGTCATTGACATCAGAATGGAAGTGCATATGCAGGCTTACCATACAAATGGTGAACAAATCCTCAAAACTGAACTCATATACACCAAAACAGAACAAAAATCACCAAAATAAGAAAATAAACTTCCAAAACTGCAACAATTTCCTCTAAAACCAAAACAAACACATCTGTAATGAAATGGAAGCAAAACTCGTGTATCAGGTACAAGAGCACCCGTGTACAAAACGGCAGTCATAGTATCCCAAAACAGTATATCCATCTGTCCATAATAATTTGATTTCCAGAGCATAACTAAAAAACTGTTCAACATTTTTCGACAAGAATTAGTACATAAATCAAACAGAATGTAAGTGGGGCCTTTTGCCACTTACAGATTTAGGACATTGTTATTGTTCTCGATTTCCATGGATACAATTTGGACTTGGTCTTCAAAGTGTGTGGATATCATTGCCGGAGCATAACTTAAAAACTGCTCAATATCTATCAATAAAATAATTACAGTCTTACTTTAACTAGTACAAAGTTTTAGGGTGATACCATAGTATAGACCTTCTATTCAACCTTTTCCCCAAACAGTCAATATTTACAATATCAAATCATTTATTGAAATATATGTTTCACAGAATGTGTTGATCCTCACCATTATTTTGGTGTACCTTCAGCAGGGACTAGTTCCCAAAGTTTCCACTAATTTGCCATTGGTTTTGTTTCAAAGTGACTTTGCATATTGATGTTTGTATGTCAGATGGCGTGAAGGAACTGAAGGTGTTTGTGGACCTGGCTTTCATCTCAGCTGGAGAGGAACCGATGGAGATTCATAAAGTCAACTGTTTCCACTCTGCCACCACTGGATATGCTCCACTGATCTTCAACACACCAAAGAATGCTGATTATGATACTTTCCTCAAGAACTGTGAACTGGTCTGGCAGGAACTCAGATCTGATGAGGAACTACCAAACAAATTGGTAATTCTTATCAGGCTTTTATTGTTATTTGTAATGTTAATATATTTTGATGCAGTGGTTATTGATCTAGGTAAATATAAGCTGATTAATGCCATTATGATCAATAGTGTTTGAAATATAGGGGTTCAATGAACAGCTTAAGGTTACATCACATCAATGCATCTGTGAATAGACTTGCTTTATTTACTTTCTCTAAAAGGAAGCCCTGCTTTGAAAAGTGGTCAAAGGTTTTCATGCAGGTTACTGTGAAACATAACATACCATCATATAACATAGTTACCCCTGCAGCCATAAAACTTTGCATTTATCATTGCAAATTCATAATCCAAAGTAAAGGTCTATAAATTGTGTATATTTTATTCCCTGCAATGCCTTTTGTGGTCTGGTATTATTTTGAACTCCATCTGTCCATCTGTTCATCCATGCAAATCTGTCTTTTCCAGAGCAGAACTTTAAAAGTGTTCAATGTTTCTTCACCAAACTTGGCACACCGTTTGTGTCTAGTGGTGAACTAGTGCCTTTTGGTAGTTTTGGATTTCTGAGTAAAGTTTTGTTGTGTTTCCATTGCAGAACTTTAAAACCTTTTAATACTCTCCTTCCATTTTGTGGGTATTCAACAACCAAAAGTCATAATTTAACATTTCCACTCTATTCCCAGTATTAACATGACTTAGGTACACCAAACCATGGAAACACTCATGCAGTCTGTTGTTGATACAAGCATACTAGTATATTAATAGTTTACATATGAATGTCGTCGTTAGATCAATGTGAAGTTAAATGTAACATTTGTAACAAATGTAAATGTAACATTCTAACTAGTTGAAATATTCATGAAGAATATTTTACATCAGTATTTTAATTTTGTCATGAAAGTATGTGCAAAAATTAGTACATGTGAAATTACTAGCACCATAACTGATTTGATGCAAAGAAAGGACATCAAACGTTCTATTTATCATTTTTGCAAACCAAAAATGATTGAAAGTAAGCAATTGAATGCTTTTTTTTCTTTTTCTTTTTTTTAAACCCAAACAAAACAAAAAACATTAAAGGTCACATGCAACCAAAAACCAAACATAATTAAAACACAATTATCGCTTCTTCATGACATATAATATGCATTGCTGATTATGAAAAAACATATAAACAAAATTGTAAGCGTATAATCGCAAATCAAAAGTGCAATATTTTGTACTTGGGTTTACCTCCCTCGAAACGAAGCAGCCGGGATACCGAACCCAGTCAGAGCGGGTGGGTGTGCACTCAAGTGTAACGGCTGGTTCATTTGCCGATGCCGCCCTCATGCACGGCTCATTGTGTGTGTATATATAGAGATGTTGGGTTTTGTAAATACATGCTCATTTTTTGTGTATAATATTTTGCAATCAACAGACATCATAACATGTCATGTGTTCAAGTATCACACCTGCCTGTCTGTGTAATTACATAAAGTGACAGAGACCGAACTCGTGCCATAAATCAATGCGTTTTGTTTATGGTGTATAGCCTGATTGGTGTTAAGTTCAAATTGCACGTGGTCAGTGATAGCAGCTGTGTATTGAATATTGTCATTAGCAGACAGGCAGGCAGACACACACACAGGTGTCAATAAAACAAGACATTGAGTTTTGTCTGTGACAACGACATATCTATATCACAGTTAGAAATTCTGTCAACGCTAAATAATGACATTGCTTTTAAGTATCGAACTGAGAAAGTGTCTCGGTAAGAAGAACGTATGGTGAAATAGACAAATGAAATTATATAAACAGTTAATTTTCTGTCATAACATATAAAAGCTCAGCCTGTGAGATATCAACAAAACATTAGAAAAATAGCTCACACCAAAGCCTTCACCGGTATTCACCTGACAACCCGGCTTCCAAGCTGCGCAAACCTATTTACTTGCGCACGTGCTATGAGCGCAGCCCAGCTGTTGAAACCCGTTTTCCCCAGAAATTTTGGGGAAAATTAGTGAAACGTTTGAACTCCGATTTCGCGCGTTTTTTTTCATCTCGTTATTTTTCAACTTCATAAGTTGAATTTGCATTTTTGACGATTTGTTTCGGTATGTCCATACCGAAAGGTATCAGAATCTGCAAAGTTGTGTTTTACGTTGCATGTGACCTTTAAGTTATGTTATGTAAATCATGTCAATCATATCCTATGAATGGCATTTTACTGACTAAAGCCACCCTAGACTGTCAATGATACAAATGAGTTTTGTGCATATTATATCTTTGAAATAGCTGACCAAAGTTTGAGGATTTTTTTTTCACAATAACAGGATTAACTGATGTGAAATAAAGCTAATGTGATGTAAATCTAATCTAATGTTTCAAAACTGATTTTGAATATTTTGTAGATAATCCTGATCTAGTTCAAAGTAAAACACATTTGAACTCCACAGACCTTTTATGGACACCATTACCTATTATGCAAATTAGTTGGACAAAAAGCTTGTTCTTTTCCACCATGCTTACTATTGCCAGATTGCAAAATCCATTTTGATAATAATCCATTGAAAGAAATGACACTAATTACAGATAAAAATCAGTTGGTAGGTTTGACAAGATATAGCCAAGATTTGTGACCTTGATTTAAACTCTAAGACTATATTCCAAACTACCTATACTATATAGCCAATACTTAACTCTTTGTTACTATTATTAGTATTTTATGATTTTTAGGATTCATTGCCAGTATTTCTGCAGAGGATACAGAAGAATGGTAATAAAATGTGATGTAATAAACCATGAATGTAGATCTAATGGCTTGCAATGTTTTTTACATGTGTGTGGTAGACTGAATGCAGTCGGTTTTTGAACTGGCTGAAGGAAGTTAAGAAGTCACATGGATCTGTTGAAGTAACCTCCTTGACACAGGCAGGACAGATAAACAACAGGGGCATGTACAAAATTGGCAACTTAGATGACATACAGAACTGTTCACTTCTGGTAAGATAATACTCCTTTCTATATACCAGTGTTCCATTAGTATTTATTGTGATGTCTGTAATGATTTGTCCCGTAACATTTTATCTGCTTCTTTTAAATTAAAGTTAATTAGGGTTTTGTTTGATCATCACATTGCAACCATCCTATCATTTTTCTGATAGGCCTTGAACAATGTCATCAGCCTACATGTTACACAAGACAAAGAGCAAAATCTATCCCGAAGATACACCTACAGCCAGTTGGTGGATCTCCAGAGCAGGCTCATGCTGGTGGCTGGCCAGGCAGAAAAGGGGAAAGAAGATATGGACCACTTCACCATGGTGAGAAATTTGTTGTGAAAGTTGTCTCTGAAAACTGGCATTTTCAGCATTTGTAAATTTTTTACTTAAAACAACTTCAAGAGTATTTGCCTGAAATGCTTAAATTTGTGTAAATCTGTAAAAACTATTAAAAAAATAAAGCTGCCATTCCTGAGTGCGAACTACAGACATACTGCAATTTGTATGTCTATTCCAAGGTGGTTTCTGAAATTGTCACTGCAGCAAAATCACCTTATTAATGCTTGTACTATTTAAATAATATGACTTTAATTATCAAGATTTCTGGCAGACATCTAAGAATTGTGAATCCACAGAATGTATTCCAAGATTAGGTCTTGCCATGTAGTCAGGAAATGCTGTAACAGCCAATAGTTGGTGGTGGTATTGTCAGTACATTTTAGATGGCTCTTTTTAATTTTCACCTCACATTTCCAATAATATTTAGGTGAAGAGGTTATGATTATCATTTCTTGATATGAATGTAATTATCACATAGGCTTTCAAGACATTTGCATGGTCAACAGGTGCATTGCCATCTGAAAACATGTAGGAAATGCCTCGCTATTACCAGCCAAAGATTGGCATCATGGACATCAATGTATTTATGGCCATGACGGACAACAAAGTTCCAATACCACATCATAAGACTTAGCACCTGTTCTGAGGAGGAAAGATCATTTGCTTGATAACCATGTTAGTAGCTACACCGAAATGTTGCTCATATTATATTAAAGAAGTTGTATATCCATAGAACTCTCCTTGTTGTTCATCACACCAACTTCTAACTGCCACTGAAACAAGTTATGTCTATCCTACTTGTGGATTATCAGGGATGATAATAAAGGCTAGATAAGGCCATATTAACACTATGAAACAATAAAGTATCAACATGGACTTTAGTGAGTTTCACCTGAGAAAAACAAACTTATCAAAATTGTAATTACAGAAGTAGTCCATCATAGTCTGACTTCAAGTCACCAACGTGGAGTAGCCAATCATGGACCTGGTGATTCATGATGTTAAACCCTTATAGCATACTGATGTACATGATTTATGGTCATTGCACATATATAATATGTGTTATTTTTATTTTAACATTATAATGAGTTGAATTGTCTATACAGTCAGGAATCATTTTACATATGTTTGACCATTTGCAAGATTAAAACCCAAGGTGATTTCATTCAATGTTAGGTACAACAAAACAAACATTGATGGTCAAATGTATTGTGGGTCACAGACTTACGTAAAGTTGAGACAGACCAAGACTGAAATTAACATTGTGTTATTTGCAGTTTCCAATGGGCAATAATTTTGATAATTTTGCATTTGATGTTTGATGGCTCAAGTAGTTTCTCACCTCCTTTTCAGATATTTGTCACCCAAAGTGGGGGTTCATATGATCAGATGCTATCATGTGTATGCTTTTCTTACAGGTTTTAGATGGCATAGTGCGTCTTGCAAAGACCTATATCAGACTGTGCATAGACGGATGTGTCTTGTTCAACTGTTGGAAGGGGAAGTTTTTGTGTGGAGATGAGAGGAATGTTTGCACCTTTTTGGAATTTGGTGAAGGGGAAAATCTTGAAACTTTAAAAGGACATCGAGGGAAAGAGGATGTTGATGTCTTTATCCAAGCTCTTGCAAATGAGTTTGAGGACTTCCATGATGAATGGATGAACTATGTCAGTGACAAAAGGGATGAATACTTGGAGCTGAACTTCTACACCATTGAGCAGCTGGTGTTCCTTCAGAGAGAACTCATCAAACTGGGCACAGATGAGGAACCTTCTGTTCATGTGTACTCTATGTTGTCTCTGATCAAGCCTGATTGTACTGAGTCTGATCTTGGCCTTGCTATGAAGACTGCTAGAGAAGTTGTATTTGCCAAGAAAGACAGAAAAGAGACAGAGACTGAAGACATTGAACCAGAGACACATCAAGATGTTGACACTAAACAAGTTTTCATTGATGCTATGAAAAACAGTAACTTCTCAGAAAAACTGGCCAGACAAGCCTTGGAAGAAGTGAACCCTGAAAATATTGATTCTGGTTGGTATTACACACATGTGGATAGAATTGTAATGTGTGAAAACTGATGATAGATCATGTTCTTGATAGTGTAAGATGTATGAGGGATGTCTAAGAGATGACTAACTGTTAGGGCTGAAAGTTCATGAAGATCATTATGTTGCCTAGATTTGCTCAAGACATTTTTTTAGATTGTTTTAAATTTAGAAAAATGTAAGGGCAATATGTTCTTAAAAAAACACACAAAAATCTAGCTTTAAACTGTAGTTTGAATGCAATCATGGCAATTATCATAGCATCTTATATTTGACAGTACTCCTCCTCATTTTTTCAAGAAATACTACAAATTGACGTTAGAGATTATTCTTTTACGGGCTCTTCCACGGGACCATTAGGAATTCTTTTTAAGTCAACTCAAAGTATTGGATAACACTTTCTCAAAACGTTTTAAGCAGTCGCCATCAAACTTGGTATATCAGTTTGTCTTCTTTTGATGGGGCCTTTCTTTGCCAAGGCTTTTGGTAAGATTAGGCATGGGTCAATGTTTACATACTTACATATTTCAAGGTCACCATTGGGTAAATGTTCAATGGTAGTTGTATTATTATATTATCTTGCAAATATGGCAGTTAGTTACTGAGGCATAGTTTTCTCTGCAACATACTTGCTTGTATCTATACAATCCAATTTTTCCTTATCCTGACTCATGCTTATTTGCTTGTCTTCTTCCTCTTGCGAACATAGTGGAACACTTGTATCTCCTTATTGAAGCTCCCTTCAATAAAACGTACGTAAAATCACTACTCACCAGAGTTATCTCTGTTTCTGGTTTTGGCGGGAAAAGTGGCGCCACTGTTTTCCCATGCTTCACTCTCTCCTTCTTCACCCTGTGAGCAGGGTGTGAGAGCGCCTGTGTCTCCTGTACGGCACTATATCCTTTTATTATTTAGTTAGACACCTCTATTATACTTTATAGAGGTTTAGCTAGTATCTTTCAACAATATGGTTCCATATTTAATCGTATTTAGCACTGTTTATGCACGGGTTGGTCCGTGTTTGTTCAGTTGTTTACGTTCATGAAAAACTGTTCCAATTGTAGATTACGTTTCTCTGCTGCTGACCCTCATCAATTGTGCCCTAGCTGCACGGTACCATGTTCTTTCAGCTCCTGCTGCATTAATTGCAAGCATTTAACTACTTGTGCATTTAATAAATACCTTCTTTGCGTCTTTAGACGTGCTGCAGATAGGTTTAGACTGGTTGGTCCAGTCATGGATAAATCAGCGGTGTCCCTCACCAGTCAACTGCTGTCTGACGACCCCCTGCCGTCTGGTGTTCCGCTGGAGTTTCCCACGGAGGAGAGGCGTGGGACGAAGTCCGCCACCTCCAAGAAGAGACCTGCTACTCCGGACATCCTGTCGTCTCAGCCTAAGACTCGGAAATCGTCAACCACCCAGCGCAGACTCCGCACCCCCAGGGCGTCGTCCACCACCACGGGGAAGTCAGCGCAGACAACACAGACTTTCTCAGCCGAGATTGTCCCGTTGACGGAACAGGGACTCTACGATGATCAACCGATCATCATCCCAGAGGTTCATCCCCAAAAAAGACCAGTCTCAGCTCACGGTGACTTCAGCGCCAGATCTCCACGCAACCCGAGGTATCTACGCTGACAACAGATGAGCGTCCTGTGGGCCACGTCGCTATCACCGCAGAAAGGGCAGCGCTACTTCCACCGCAGACCTTCAACCAGGGGGACTTTATGCAGCAGTTCTACCAACAAATCATGGAGATGATGGAGCAGCGTTACGGCCTGGAGAAGAAGTCACAGCCAGCCCACAAAGAGGTCCCGAGCCTTCACGAAGGCTCCAACACAGATGTCGTCTCTGAGGGGCCCTCCATCAACGTGACATCTGGCAGCAGATCTACACTGCAGGACCAGCCTGTGCGAAGGTCGACTCAACCATCCCCTGCGGCGGACTCGGACGATCAGCATCCGCGAAGGCATTCGCGAAGGCATTTGCGAAGGACGACTCGGTCATCACCTGCTACGGATTCGGACGATCAGCATTCGCGAAGGAATTCGCGAAGGAGGAATCGCCCATCCCCAGATACAGAATCGGATGACCAGCGTTCGCGAAGGACCAGTCGCCATTCCCCAGATGCAGAATCAGATGATCAGCGTTCTCGAAGGCATTCGCGAAGGACTTCAGATACAGTATCCAAGACATCTTCCACATCACGCAGATCGTCGAGGGATTCGCCGAGCCATTCGTGAACCCACAGTCGCTCATCTCCGCGCAGGTCACCCTAGAGACGCAGTTCACCAGGCCACTCGCCACACTGATCTCCAAGCCGATCTCCACGCAGGTCTCCACGAGGTCACCGCAGTTGCGAAGGACTCCACCTTGATCACCATCGGAGGAGGATCAACGTCCCTTATTCAACACTCCTCTCATTGAGGATGACGGCGGGATCATCTTTTCGGACGCTGAAATATGCTACTGGATGGCCAACGGTCTAGACTTGGCATCACCATCTAAGGATGATAATCCGGCTCACACCTATCTCATGCAGGATGATGATGTCGACACGATCACTCTCCCTCCGATTGATCCCATCGCTGCGGTCCCAGAGAACCTGGACGCAGCCTTCAAGTCAGCCACAAAAGCCCAGGCGCCGCATCTACCACAGTTCAACGCCAAAAAGTTCTCCTTCCACAACATGGATCCATTCTTGAAGGCACAGGACATCGATGAGAACTTCAAAGTCATCAGTGATGCCAAGGCCAAGTCTTACAACATTGAAGACAAAAAGTTGGCACAAGTTGAAACTATGACCAGGCGCATGTTCTTCGGCCTCAACAGATCAAGGGCAGTCAATGAAACGCTCATCGCTAAATTCCGAGACTCTACTGCGGAAGAAGATAGGATGATATATTCGGCCCTCCTTATGCAGAAGAAGGACCAACAGTTTATGACAGACCATCTCTCATCCATCTCCAGCACTGACACTGGCACGTCGACAAGGTCTCCTCGCCTCCTGCAGTTGGAGTGACCACTTTATCAAGTCACTCTACACAGCCCTGTGGTCAACTCCTTCCATCTTCGCTGGAGGAATCAACGAGGTTGCCAAGGAAGTTACCAAAGACTCAAGGGAGGTCCTTATGATCAAGTCCATAGATACTCTGGCCAGCGTCATCAGGCAAACATCCCAGCGCTACTCGGGCAAGTCCAAGTTTCCTGGGATACAGAGAGCATGGGACAAGAAAGTGGGTAGCTCCAGAGGCGGAAAAAGTTCCTTTCGTCGCCCAGCCGGCAACTACAGAGCAAGGTCCGGATGAGGCAGGGCACCCAGAGGTGCCAAGGATTATCGAACCCCCAGCCGTTCCTGTACAACCTTCACGAGTGGGTGGACACCTTCAGCTACACTGGGAAAACTGGGGAATACTTCAAGATCCGTTTGTATCCAACATCCTAAGAAACGGATATCACATACAACTACAGGCCGCTCCACCGCTTACAGTCGACCCTCACAAGTTCGACTTCAAGACGCATCAGATAGAGAAGTTATGAGAGGAGGTCTCATCTGTACTAGTAAATCGAGCCATAGAGGTCGTAGATCAAACCAACATCACGCCAGGTTTCTACTCACCAGTTTTCCTAGTACCCAAGAAAAACTCCAAAGAAAAGTTCTGACTCATCTACAATATGAGCACGTTCAACAGAGACTATCTGAGCAGACCTCCCAAGTTTCGCATGATACATCTACCTCAACTAATCCACCTCGTCCGTCCGATGGACTACATGGCCAGCATAGATCTACAGGACGCTTACCTGCATATTCCTGTACATCCAGACTTGAGGAAGTACCTCAGGTTTACACTGGACGGGCTACATTACCAATGGAAGGTCCTGCCATTTGGAATATCATCGGCCCTTTGGTTGTTTACAAGGGTGACGAAACCCATAGTCATACATCTACATCATCGAGGTCTACGCAGTGCCTTTTACCTCAACGACGGGATTCAAATACATCAAGATCCCAAGCATCTCAGACTACAGAACTGTACCATCAAACTGCTTACACAGCTGGGGTGGTTAGTGAATCTACTCAAGTCGGACCTAGAACCTACGCAGGACCTGCAGTTCCTAGGCATCAGATTTCTCACGACGCAGAACCGCATCATCGTACCAGAGGACCGATGGCTCAAGATTCAACAGACAATCCCACAAGCCCTACTCTCTCCGTGGCCACTACGACAGTGGCAGAGTCTGTTGGGTCTCCTCACGTCTGCACAAGACATGACAGCCAGAGGGAGATTACACCTACGCCCGTTAGAGGTCCTCATCAATGCTCATCTCGACGACCCAGACCCCTTTGGTCTCCCGGACTACCTCAGACCTCATCTTCTATGGTGAACCCAGAGAGCGAATGTCTGCAAAGGCATCTATCTAGCAGAGCCAGAGTGCAAGAATCATCTGTATGCGTCACTCCAAGGTTGGGGAGCACATCTCGACAACGATGTGGCAGCCGGGAAATGGACCAAGGAAGAGAAAAGTCTGCACATCAACATGCTGGAAATGAAAGCAGTCGTCAACGCCATACTCCATTGGGGCAACATTCTACAGAATGCGCATCTCATGGTACACATGGACAACTCCAAAGTGGCGTTCTACATAAACAAGCAAGGATCAACATAATCATTGAACCTGCTGTACCTCTGCTTTCAACTGTTCGACCTAATCGACGATCTGAACATCCACATAAGAGCATGCCACATTCCAGGAGCCAGGAATGTCATAGCAGACGCACTCTCCCGTCCAACTCAACAATCTCCGACGGAATGGATGCTACATCCCGAGATCTTCAAACAGATCATCAAGGAGATAGGAGCCCCGCTGATAGACCTCTTCACCACATGTTTCAACAATCAGCTGACAACATTCTTCTCTCCAGTACCAGATCCACGAGCGTGGGCAACGGACACTCTCAGCATATCCTGGGAAGGACTAAACGCATACGCGTGTCCACCGCCAGCTCTACTACCGAGGGTGTTGCAGAAAATCAGCCAGACCAGGAACCTCCAACTGATTTTGGTCGCGCCCTACTGGCCAGCGAGAATGTGGTTCCCCATTCTCATACAAGAACTAGGACCACCACAGCTACAACTACCAGAGTGGTCGAATCTACTCGTACATCCTCACACAAAGCAGGCGCACGGCAACCCACGGACATTCCAACTACATGGGTGGACTGTATCAAGGCGTGCTTGAACAAGAGAGGGTACTCCGCCAGAGCAGCGAAAGCAGTGACACTAGCTTTACGCAAGTCTACACGCAACTTGTACGACGACAAGTGGCGCAGCTTCGAGACATATGCTGCCAGAAACGGACTTTTTGTCCCGATATCGACAGTGAGACAGACGGAGGTCTCCCGCACTACGATATCAATCTGGATCAGAACTGTCATACTACGGGCCTACAAGGCAGCAGGACTTGATCCTCCAAGAGCCTCCAACCCACACGAAGTTAGAGCTCTGGTGCAACACTCGCTCTACATGGGAATTGCTCGTTACAGACGATAATGGAGGGCTGCTTCTGGAAATCAGACATAGGGTTTGTAAATCACTACTTGGGAGATATCGCCACCGAGGACGTCTCAGGCATTCACCATTTCGGCCCACTGGTTGTAGCACAACAGTTGACAGTTCCTCAAAGACGCTGAGACGAAGTCTTGCTCTTTTATCACATGACTTACCAAGCCTACACTCAGCAGAGTTCTGCTTAAGTCTAAATGCACGTCTAACGACTAGTATAAGTGATACGACCCAGTACTTGTAAGATTACTCGTACAGGAAAGGGTCGCTTCTCCACTTGATGCTTGCATCAAAATCCACATATAAATGTTAACAGAAGAAAGGACCAAAAGTTAACAATTGTGGTCCCCCCATCAAAAGGCAGCTGACAGGACAGAGTCACAAACAGCAGCAGAGATTAGCACAGTGCCAATACGAAATTCCCATAGGGGGGTATATATTGACGTAAATCACTACACGAAATCCTAAAGTATTTTTCCCGCCTCCAAATCCGACGGATTCTACAAGCAATAAGCATGAGTCAGGATAAGGAAAAATATGTAATTTTCTGACTAAAATTGATATTTTATACTTATCCTGACTCATGAGGTAAGCCCTTCCAACCTCCCCACTAGACACTTTGGATTTCCCTGCAAATTCAAGTGTCGGGCTCATTATCAGGAGAGAGTGAAGCGTGGGAAAACAGTGCCGCCACTTTTCCCGCCAAAACCGGAAACACAGATAACTCTGGTGAGTAGTGATTTTATGTACATTTTATTGAAGGGAGCTTCAATAAGGAGATACAAGTGTTCGACTATGTTCTCAAGAGGAAGAAGACAAGCAAATAAGCATGAGTCAGGATAAGTATGAAATATCAATTTTATTCAGAAAATTACATTTTACATCCATGATAGATTGAGGTCATCTTTTTTTTTTGGTTGAACATGGTTGTAATATATATATTGTCATTTATTACCTGATTGCCATTTGCAAGTTTACTTGTACAATGCTGAGACTTGAGCAAGTCTTGTACTTTAAGAACTTGTCTTAATTGAAGTTAAGGTCAGGAAGTATTGTTTTTCACATTAGCACTTTAAACATTGAACAAGTGGCAGTGCCTGGGCTGCTTTTGATTTTGAAAGCACTAGCAGAAACTGCTAGTTGATAATAATGTGAGTGTAAAATATCTTAGAAACTGTTTACCAAACTGGTAATGAATTTTTGTTACCGAAACAATGAAAGAACATTAGATTTATGTTGCGCTGTCTGCTTACATCAAACAGATAACATTATGCAGCCACCTGATGTGTACATGGTGTTTTGAATCAAGATAGCTACACCAAAAATTACAGGAGAAAAATTAATACTTCCTTTATGCTATTTAATATTTTCAGGTTTAGCTTGGTGTATGGAACATGAAGATGACTTCCCCAATGAAGAAGAAGGCACAGAATCTTCGGTTGATCCATTGTTCATGGGCTGGCAGGTGGGAGGAGAGTCAGTGTCATCCATTGCAACCTCCTGGGTCAAAAGAATCTCGCATCAAACCAAGTGAGTCTGAATGCATGCATGGGCTGTGAAACTCTGAAAAATGTGCCAGATCTTTCTCTTGCCCATGAATACAATTCCCGATCCAGTCAACCATAAGATACAGATTGTACTGGGTTTTGTGACCTTGTAGTCTAACTATTGCTAGGTGGATCTGCTGTTGTGGTAAATGTGAACATATACAAAGGAAGTTAAAGGTCACATGCAACAAAAAAATCAAACATAATTAAAACACAATTATCACTTATTCGTGACATATAATATACATTGCTGGTTATGAAAAAACATATAAACAAAATTATAAGCGTACAATCGCAAATCAAAAGTGCAATATTGTGTACTTCGGTTTACTTCCCAAGAAACGAAGCAGCTGGGATACCGAACCCAGTCAGAGTGGGTGGGTGTGCACTCAAGTGTAACGGCTGGTTCATTTACGTATGCCCTCACGGCTTATTGTGTGTGTATGTGTAGAGATGTTGGGTTTTGTAAATACATGCTCATTTTTTGTGTATAACATTTTGCAATCAACAGACATCATAACATGTCATGTGTTCAACTACCACACCTGCCTGTCTGTGTAATTACATAATGTGACAGAGACTGAACTCGGGCCATAAATCAATGCATTTTGTTTATGGTGTATAGCCTGATTGGTGTTAAGTTCAAATTGCATGTGGTCAGTGATAGCAGCTGTGTATTAAATATTGTCATTAGCAGACAGGCAGGCAGACACACAGGTGTCAATAAAACAAGACATTGAGTTTTGTCTGTGACAACAACATATTATCTATATCACAGTTAGAAATTCTGTCAACGCTAAATAATGACATTGCTTTTAAGTATCGAACTGAGAAAGTGACTCGGTAAGAAGAACGTGTGGTGAAAATATATAAACAGTTAATTTACTGTCATAACATATAAAAAAGCTCGCGCCTGTGAGATATCAACAAAACATTAGAAAAATAGCTCACACCAAAGCCTTCACCGAGTATTCACCGGACAACCCGCTTCCAAGCTGCGCAAACCTATTTCACTGTGCACGTGCTATGAGCGCAGCCCAGCTGTTGAAACCCGTTTTCCCCAGAAATTTTGGGGAAAATTAGTGAAACGTTTGAACTCCGATTTCGCGCGTTTTTTTTTCATCTCGTTATTTTTCAACTTCATAAGTTGAATTTGCATTTTTTGACGATTTGTTTCGGTATGTCCATACCGAAAGGTATCAGAATCTGCAAAGTTGTGTTTTACGTTGCATGTGACCTTTAAGAAAAGTACAGCTTTATAAATAAGTTGTCCACTTTCTTGGAAAACCAAACGCTACTAATGAACTAAAGTAGCTGACATGTAAATATTAACTTTTGCATTTGGCAGTTGCAAGGTTAAATCCTTGAACTATCTTTGTACAATGGTTTGAACATATGACAAACAAAATGAGTGCCATAGTAAGGAGAGAATTGCACTTTAGTTCACTTATTTCACTTTGATTTCCACCTGATATTTGTTCAAATTTTTGCCTGAGAGTTTGTTTGATGTGTTAAACAGGAATATGACAACTGTGCAGGATTTGACCTTGAACTTGAGGTCAGTTTGGAAGACGTTCCTGGAAGCTGTATCATCCAGTGTAGCAGATTATCTCAGTCTGGAACATCTTGGCATCATCCTCAGGCAGCTCGCTCAAGCAGGTACTTAGGGCTTACAATACACAAATAGATATGGCTTTACACAGGAAACAGCCATCAAAATCTCTGTCTGTAATATGTATTAAACTGCAAGAAAGGAGGGATGAACACAAATAGGAGTGTCACTTTGGGCTATTAGATCAAAAACAGAAATGTCTTCCAAAACTGGCAGTGCAGTTGCCATGGCTATTGACACTTGTCAGAATCCTTAGAACAGTGACTCAACAAATGTGCACAAACCTGATGCCTATAAACATAAATATCCTAACCATCACATAACTGATTTTTTATGATCTCAAAGCTCTGCATAATAGCTTGATTGTCTACCTCAAGCTGCAGTTCAAATCACCATTGGCATGAAGTGAAAGTGATTGATTTCAGTTGAAGGGTAAATGTCTCTCTCGGCTAGAAATGTCAATTTAAATTACCACAAACATATCATTGTTGGTCAAACAGATGAAGAATAACTAATTTAACGCCTGTATTGTACTATCTTTATGTCATTTGTCAAGGTTACTTTGAAGGAATTTCATTTGTGAAATTGTTTTTCAATTAAAAATGTAAAAGAAATTAGGTCATCAAAAACTTGTAAAAAGATTAACTAATGTACCTATATGTAGTAATTAATTAAATTTTTTCCAGACGAGCGAACATTTAACAGGACTATACCACCACCGCTAAAACCAGGAATTTCAAACTTGATCGTCTGCCCTGAAGGTGAGATATATAGGATGAGATTACAAATAACATTGCCATATCATTAAAGCTTTGCAGTGACAGAAGGACAGAAATATATATTCTTCAAATATCTATAAATATGCTTGCATCTAAGCTAGTAATGTTACATAATGTGAAAGTCTTTGCTTATATTGCCTTTTTGTATACCTCTGTAGCTGACATGCTGAACACTGTTGTATATATGTACAAACACTCAGAGGACCAGCCACTTCCACAACCCGATGAGGTCCTTCTGTGCACTCAACAAACTACCTTTGACCAGGTAAAGCTATACTTCTATGCACAAATTCTGGTGACAAAATGTTGTGGACTGTTTATGTAGCTGCATCTGTTGGGAACATCTTCTACTTAGAAACCACTGGACCAATATATAGCTGGAACTTGATGTGCTTGTTACCACCGAAGAAGATACCTGAATTTGTTCAAGAGGTCTAATCCAGATACATACTGTAAACGTACTTATTTTCGCGTGGTGCAATTTTCGCAGAATTGACAGTTTAGACTACATCGCGCGGTCAATTATTCGCGCAATCAGTAATTGCCAGAACTGCCAGCTGTCTCTTTGGCCGCCACTAATAGCAGTGAAAACAAACAGAGTGGCTTAACCTGTCAGGCGGCGTAAATTGCTTACTCACAGGAAATCCCTATCTGTGCGATATACTAGTACACAGTAATCCGTTTACTCACGGAAGAGATGAAAAACACATCAGTCTTATGTTCCGAATTCTGATGATCTGACGAATTAACTTCTACTGTATATGAAGCTCTTTGTGATTTCAAACAAGCCGGGTTGTTGTGAATGAGATGATTGAGTGTTAAGTGACTATTCGCCTCATGATGTACTGGTCAATAAAATCTAAATGAATAAATAAAATACTGCTGTATTATTTCTTTCCGAGTCGTTTCATGGTAATCTGTTTTGTATCAAACCATCTGTCATGTGACCAATTTCCATGGCGGCCACAACACACATTGCTCTTTTCGCTAATTCGGCGATGGGATTTGGCTCATTATTTAATTATGTTTTTTGGAAATCCATTACAGTGGCAGTTAAGTGTGATTCTTTATGCTACTATCAGTCGTCATTTTAAGATTCCCGTAGATTTCTGTCTTCAAACTTGATATGTTATGGTAACAACTCAGGGGCGAGCGTGGCTAGACTGAATGAATGATGTGTATGGTGTATTAATTTTCGCGCTAAAATGTTTTGCGCGAAAAGCGCGAAAATAAAACCTGCGCGAAATATAATACGTTTACAGTATTCAGATACAGTCGAACCTGCACTAGCCGTTTTTCATATACAACATGAATAATACTATGTATCTACACATACCTATGTACATGTAAACATCTGGGAAATAATAGGTAATGTAAAAATGACTTATGCCTTGCATGTGACCAGATGCAGTCAAACTTGCACTAGCTCTATTTCCTATACAATACTATTAATATTATGTATCTATGCATTCTTGTGTACATGTAAACATCTGCTGGGAAATAATTGGTAGTGTAAAAATGACTTGCGCCATGCATGTCAAACCTGCATTAGCTGTATTTCACATACAATATGAACAGTATTATGTATCTATGCATACTCATGTACATGTAAACATCTGCTGGCAAATAATGGGTATTGTAAAAATAGTTGCAGTAAAACCTGCACTAGTCGTAGTTTATATACAATATGATCAATGTTATGTATCTACGCATGCTTATATACATGTAAACACCTGCTGGGAAATAATTGTTCATGTAAAAATTACTTATGCCTTGCACATTACCAGTTACACTCAAACTTGCACTAGTTGTAGTTCATATACAATATGAACAATATTATGTATCTACACGTACTTATGTACATGTAAACATCTGCTGGAAAAAGGAAACCTACAAATATAATAAAGAAAAACAGGCTAGTCATATTGAACAATTTTTGATGGCCATTACTTGGTCATTTTTTATTCATAATGTAATGAGATTTGGTTCTCAGGCAGGACAGGGTTAAATTAACATTGGTCAAACAGATGAAGAATAACTAATTTAACGCCTGTATTGTACTATCTTTGTGTCATATGTCAAGGTTACTTTGAAGGAATTTCATTTGTGAAATTGTTTTTCAATTAAAAATGTAAAAGAAATTAGGTCATATATTCATATATATCCCATTGTTTATGACAGTTTGAGTTTGTCCTGTGTTTCAAATAATTTTTTATGTGAACTTATGTTCTGAAAGATTAAACTTTTCACTGTTATTCAGCCATTTCATTTCAAACTGAAAATAAATATGGTGAACATGGGATTAGTTGTGGGACTCGAGCTTCGATTAAAAATGCCAGGCTGTATAAATTGCACTTGTCATGTTTCTCCTTCTGTTGACATCATATTTTGTTTACATCATTAGTCTTGCTCTTTTTTTATATTAGTGTGAGACAATATGAAAAATTGTATGGCACTTGCAAAAGAAAATTTCTTATAAGTCTGATGAGGATGAGTGTGGAAACTTTGCATGAAATACATTTATATTTTGTCCTTGTGCATGCGTGTGTCAAAAAGTATCTTTAAAATAGTATGCTGTTTGAATAACAAATATCAGATGTGTAGCTGTGTTCTTAGGTTGACATCTTCCTTCGACGAGCTTTCTTTAGCAACCCTGGCAAGTTGTATACAATGGCCAATGCTGATCTGCTGCAGTATGAGATTGAGGAGAGGGCAGAGAAAAAGCTCAAGGAGTATTCAAGCAGGGACAGAGGTACAATATTGAAAATGTCTGAAGACATGCATTAAATGTTATCGTCTTTCAAGTCTCACACAGTCTACAAATTTAGCAGGGAACTGGATTGTTACACTCAGTGAGGCTTTATGTACCTATGATGTTATGAAATATAATGAAAGAAGTATCTTTTTCTTTTAAAATTACTTTTTTTGTAAAATATGTACGCTTTATTTTGAGAAAATGCCTTCTTTGTAAAGACAATGTAAATATGGATAGCAGATTGTGTAATGACATGATAAATTGGTCCTTTTTGACACAGATTTCACTTGATGAAAAATCAAGTAAATTCATCATGTTAGATATACTGAAAGCAATCCAGATAGGTCAGAGTCTGTTTTTCTCATATTTACTTGTAAGAAATGTTCAATGTTTCTTAAATGATATATGGAGAAACAATTTGGGAAGTTCTTGAATTAACTGTGAGAACTATACAGGCATCATGAAGGCTTTGTTCACACATGAATATTTATATCATTGAAATTTGATGAAACTAAGTACCCTTCATCTCAATTAACACTTGTCTATCTTTGTTTGAGGTCAAGATTACCAGAGACTGAATGAAATAGCTCTTAAAAACTGAGAAAACATTTGTGTTCAAATAGAAGATATTTTTTAACAACTAAATTTACGTTTGTCCTGTCAAGGTAAAGGTCATTTCAAAAGTCTTTCACTCATTGAATGATTTGTCAATAGTATGGAATAGAAAGTTTGTGCATGTTATGCCTCATATGTTTGCAACGGGTACTATTGTCACATTGAATTGGTGATGGTTGAGGGTGAAATCAGGTCATCAAAACTCATGAACCTTTTGATAGGTATTTGACTAGGTATTACAATATACTGAAATATTTTCAGATTTTGATTGTCAACTTGTGATACTTTGTTCCACGGAAAATGAATTCAAGGCAAGAATTGTGGCAGCTCTAGAGAGACAAAGATGTCCACCTCCTGCACTGCAAAACTTGCATGATGTGAAAACATATCTACTCTTAAAGTTTTCACAAAAAGTGGAATGTGATCAAGATCACAATCCAGCCTCAAATTTGGATTTCAGCAGGTAAGATTATTAGTGCAGTACTTGTAATTCAGATTTCTTCTAGCCATTCACAAATACCATAAAGTGACATGACAGCAAAGAAGTTTCACTGAAGACCTGAAAATGTAAAGGTATTAAGAACCCTGCCCTTATTTCATAGTTTCACTAAAGGTAAATAGGGTACATGGTACAGAGTAGTGAACCTTTATCATATATGATAGTGTGAATGATGAAAATATGACATTAGTTTTAACATTTCTTCATTTATGCATAATTTCCATTTATGTATAATGTTGGAACAACATCTAAGAAATTTAAAAGCACAATCAGCTGGTATTTGTCACTCCATTTGAATTCAGATTTAGTCAATGAATTTAAGATAGGTTTACAGATTTTTTATATGAAAAGAAGAGGAAAATCCACCTGTGTAGATTATAATTAAGCAGTCAGTTGTAATTTTGAAATGACATATATTTCTCATTCGTAGAACTTGGAAATGTTCTGAAAGTGTGGTTTCAAATCACAGATGGGATTTAACCCCAAAACATTGTAGGATCTGTACTTTCTAAAAATGTAATCCCCAAAATACCAGATGTTGTTGACAAGTGACAACATGTAAAATTTACAAGAGTTACCCTGTTCCAGTGTTTGTATTGTTATGGACTTTGTCTATCTTGAACTAATTGAATTTAGACTCATCTGCAAAAGCTGTTTCAGTTGGGTTTTTTTGCCAATTATTCCCTTAAAGAATATTAGTTATCATGAACAGTTTAGCAAATTTTTGTGGTGAAATCCTGAAGTTAGATGTTCCATTAATACAAGATCCTGACAGATTTGCAGTAAACAAGAGCAAAGCCTACTATCTGATCACTGCAAACTCCTCACAAAAATGCAATATTTCTTATGATATAAGTAAATACATCTTCATGACACAATAACATTTGTAAACATTCTGCAGATATTTTTTTACTTAATGATGACAACAACCTCAACAACAAGTTACATTACAAAATATTGAGCCTTACAAATACATTTTTATTCATATTTAGAGCTAAACAAATCAATGTGAACCAAAGCATTTAGTTAGATGCTTCTGAAAACCTAGTTTGTACTGATGAGAGATAAAGTTGACAATTTAATTTTGTAGTGTCTTTGAACAAAGCATACATTTTTGTTTGCAGTTCCACAGTGCGAGTGATCAAGTCCAAGAGAGCTGGTGTTGGGAAGACCTTGTACAAGAAGCGTCAGGTGGAGGCACTGCAACGTCTGAACCCCAGAGTCCCTGCTACATCAGTGTCCATACATCTGTATGAGAAAAGTGTGTCCACAACAGCTGTGGCAGAGAAACTGCTGGATCATACACTGCAGCCTGGACAAGTCCAGCCTAGAATATTCCACTTGGACATTTCATATGAGGTCAGCTACATTCACCTATGTGAATGTCCAGGCTAGCTATTCTCGAAACATTCATAGCCCTATGAACTTCTTAAGCCCATTCTTAACACATTGGCTATGATCAAAGTTAAGAATTCTTAGGGCTACAAACGTTTCGAGAATAAGGGCCCTGTATCTTTGAGCGCATTTGCAAACTAGAAGACCCAAATATATATGCATTGAATGAAATGAGCAGATTAAACCATGTGATGGTTACTGTGGCAGGTTCAGGAAGGCGTTGACTATCTCCTCTTCAACCTGCTGGTTCTGGGCTGCATCAGCAACAACATGGGGCATGTCTGGCTGAAGTCTCCCCTGGACCTGTATCTCGTGGAGACCATTCCCATCACAGATGTCAGGCATGACAGGGTATGTATCTGTCAATATCTGGAGAGTGAAAGTCTGTATGTAAAATGTGTATCTCGTGGAGACCATTCCCATCACAGATGTCAGGCAGGACAGGGTATGTATCTGTCAATATCTGGAGAGTGAAAGTCTGTATGTAAAATGTGTATCTTGTGGAGACCATTCCCATCACAGATGTCAGGCAGGACAGGGTATGTATCTGTCAATATCTAGAGAGTGAAAGTCTGTATGTAAAATGTGTATCTCGTGGAGACAGATGTCAGACAGTAAGTCTTATTTACTGTGCAGGGGAAAAGGTATTTCTGGTCTTGGTTGCAATGAGTTACTTATTGGAATGAACACTGCATTCTTTTTCATAGAGATCGTCCTTGGGGTACATATATGCATTTTCTGCGCTGAAAATGTCCTGTGACAGTTGTATCAATGTTTTAATACAAATATTGTACAATAAATAAAATCTTTTTTATCTATTATATGGCCCCCACCTCGTGGAGTTACCTCCCGCTACGCATGCGCAACCAACCAGGTAAGCACCTAGGCCCATATCATCATTCCGTCTGCTGTCACTCCATTGAAGGGATGTGCCGTGTAGAGCTGAACTCCTTCCATAAAATGAAGTTTACGAGAATAATGTCTGGGACACCACCACCTGTATGTATGGTCTTTATTTTGTCCTATGAACGGAACAATAAGGCTTTACGGTCGATTGTCTCATAATTGTGACTTTGTATTAAATATTTTACACTAACTTTCCCATGGTTTACGCACGTGTTGCTTTGCCATGGCGGGAAGTTTAGCGTGCCAAGTGGTTGTCATATTGCGTTTTAACCAAGTATTTCTTCCCGTGGTCGCATTCACGTAATTTTCAATGTTTTGTACATGTATATTTATGCTGCTGGCTCTGCTGTTAGCTACATGCTTGCGTGTTTGCTTTCAGGCGTTTTCCGGATGTACTGTCTGCGGACAAAGTATTCCCAGAGCAGACAAGCATGACAAGTGTCTCGTTTGTCTAGAGAAAGTCGGACATAATTCCGACATATGTGAACAATGTATGGGCTTCTCCCCCCGAGCCCAGAAAAGACGGGTTGCCGATTTCCTCTTTTGTAGAGAAATGCGAGAGCCGGGAAGGGAACTGACCCAGGTCCCCCCGTCTAAAGCCAAAAAACCTAAGGCAGGCAAAAAAGCTAAGTCGCGCAGTAAGGGGCCTTCTACTGCTCCCACTGGTTTTGACATGTCTGTAATCACACAGCTTTTTCAGTAGCACATGGACTCCGTGAAGTCCCTTGTTCATGATTCAGTTGGAGGTCTCCGGCAGGAGTTCCTCGCCCACTCTGAGCAGGGGACGGAGAGTCCGGGGGTGGGATCGCCGAGCCCAGCTCGATCCCTTGGCCTGGAGGCGTCTGTCGATCCGTTGCCTCTGGCTTCGGGTCCGGACGCCTCGGCTACCCCGGAGGGGGAGGGTTCTCTCCGAGTCCCCCTCTCGGTGTTGGCGCAGGGTCCGTTGAGGATTCCTGGGGTTCCGGTCCCTGCGCCGTCCCGCCCCAATGAGAGCGGAGGAACCAGTTTTGCCTGGTATTCCTCCCGCGTCTCAGGACCGGGGTTCGAGTGTGGTGTCGGGAGCTGAAGCGGGGAGCTCCTTCAGCTCTTCCCTTCCCTCTGTGTCTGGTGCTAGGCTGCCCACCGGGTCGGGGTTTGGGTCCTCTTCGCGAGGAGACCCAGCCTCTGACTCGGGCTCAGGTGCCGAGTCCATGGACGTTGGGGAGGTAGAGGAGCCAGAGGGCGCTTTCCATTTCTCGACGGCTCCTCTGAGGGAGGTACGGCAATGCATTGCTGAGTTTATCCCCCAGGCCGCGGTGCCTACCAGCCGCTCGGTCTATGCTGAGTTCCGCCTGCCAGGTGAGGCATTTGCCCCTAGTCAACCCTCGCAGACGCTGCTCCGCATCTTGCCGTCCCTGGTGCAGGACGTGGTGGATCCCCTCCTGGTTGGGACACGCCTCCGGTTTGATTTGCCTGAGCTTGTCAAGAGGTACCAGCTGGGGGACAATTCCCTGTTCTTTGTGCCAGTGGTCGATGAGTGTGTTTTCACCTCGGTCGCCCTGGGGGGAGGCTCGGCTTCCTCCGGTGCAGCTCCGGCTGCCAGGCAAGGGCGTTTGATGCCACCGTTTGCCCTCGCGGGTGCCCCCCTGCAACAGGCTTACTGGACCTACGAGGAGGTTTACCGGAATGCCATGCAGCAGGTGCGGGTGGTCATCCACGAGGCCGACCTCTCCTCGATTCAGAGGTCGGCCCTGGAGGCTGAGGGGTATGCTGAGGACGTTTCTCTGCATGTCGTTCTCCTCTGCCAACTATCCGAAGTTCAGGCCCACCTAGCGCGCGACTCCTTGCGGTCAGCGGCGTCTACGGTGATGTGCGCAGTCATGGGGATGCGCAAACTGTGGCTGTCGATGTCTCGCTACTCGGCAGCTACACAGCAGACCTTGCTGGCCCTTCCCTTCCGTCTGGGAGCTACGTTGTTTCCTGGGGCACAGCAGGTCATACGGGAGGCTGCCGCTGCAGCTACCTCCTTCAAGGATTCTAAGGCCTTGTTGGAGCAACCGCGGGCTTCTCGCCCCCACGCTCCCGTCCCGGCTTCCTTCTCCTGGGTGCAGCCTACACTCTAGTCTGCCGGCTGGCTTCGGCTGCTTGGCAGGGGTAGGCGGAGGAGCCGTCCCACCAAGGGTAAGGGCAAGGAGCAGTCCTCTTCGTCTGGCTGCCCCGACCTCCCGTTAACCCAACAGGCTGTCGCTGTGGGTCCGTCCCAGTCAGCTCAGCTACTCAGGACCACTCATGCTCTCTTACCACACGTCCCAGTGGGAGGCCGCCTCTTTTTATTCCTGCCGGAGTGGGAGAAGGCTACAAGCAACACTTGGGTGCTACCACTGCCAGAATTCACCGGCATACGTTGCACTCTGGTGCCGTCATGTCAGGTCAGGGCAGGTATACTGCGAGACGAAGTTCAGGCTTTGCTGGACAAGTCTGCTATAGAGTGCATACCACCGGGTGAGGAACAGGCGGGATTTTAATCCACTTACTTCCTCGTTCCGAAGAAAGACGGCGGGTTCTGTCCCATTCTCAACCTCAAGGGGTTGAATCGCATGCTAGAGGTTCCATTGTTCAAGATGGAGACACTTCGCTCGGTGATCTCCTCTGTTCAGCCCGGCGGTTGGCTCACGTCAATCGACCTAAAGGATGCGTATCTCCATGTGCCCATACATCCATCGATCAAGCAGTACCTCTGGTTCTCTTACGACGGGATGAATTACCAATTCACGGTGCTCCCCTTCGGGTGTTCACCAAGCTCATGTTAGTGCCAGCTACCCTCGCTTGATCGCAAGGAAGGCGTTGTTACCCTTACCTCGAAGACTGGTTGCTCAGCGCTAACTCAGCCAGCGAGCCTAGATTCTACTCACAAGGTGATAGACATTCTAGTTCGACTGGGGTGGATCATCAACTTAAGAAATCCGACCTGGAACCCACCCAGGACTTGGTTTTTCTCGGGGCGAGGTTCCAAACTCACAAGGATCTTGTTTCCTTGTCGCCCAACTGGGTCACCAGAGTACGGGAGATGGTGTCTTCGTTCCTCTCCCATCCCCAGGCACCAACACAGACTTGGCTCCGTCTACTGGGCCATATGGCGGCGACTATCTCTGTAGTGATGCAGGTGCGGTTGAGGATGGCGCCCTATAAAGCAAGTTTTGGCGAGTCTGTGGGCTCACTCGGAGGACCTGGAGCGGAGTCTCAAAGTCCCCGGGTGGTTGTCTCCACACCTTCAGTGGTGGACCAATGTCGGGAATCTCTCCAATGGGATCCCTTTGGAAATCCCGATGCCAGCTCTTACAGTTCAATCCGATGCGTCCCTCACGAGCTGGGGGGGAACTGAGAGCTGTGCGGTTGGTTTTCGAGCGCTTCCGGGAGCATGTCCAGGGCCAGGTGGTTCGTCTTCAGTTAGACAACCGTACGGCCTTGACATACATCCTGAAGCAAGGCGGCATGGTGTCCCTAGAGCTCCTTCAGGATACGTGGGACTTTCTCCTCTGGTGCGACCAGTGCGACTGTCAGGTACTCCCTGTTTATCTCCCGGGGCTGGAGAATGTGCGAGCAGACGCTCTCCGTCGCCAGATCCTGGCCCCGCACGACGAGTGGATGCTCGACCAGCAGATATTCGGAGTTATCTCCCAGTTGTACGGATCGTTCCAGGTGGATCTGTTTGCGTCCGGCGAGACGAATCAGATACCCTTGTTCTCTCGAATACCGGACCAGAGGGCATTGGGACTCATTCCCCGGGTCCTCTCCCAGCTGTCCACCCAGCCAGCTCGGCTGCTTGTGCTACTGGCACCGCTTTGGCCGTCACAGAGCTGGTTTCTGGTAATTCTCAGGTTTCTGGCTCAGCCTCCTGTTCTATTACCTTTGCTACCGGACATTCTCACTCAGAATGGTGCACCATACCCCAATCCAAGGATTCAGTGGGTGGCTTGGCCTCGGTCAGGTCTAGCCTCGAAGCTCGCGGAATTCCTGCAGCATTTGCAGACACAATTCGGCTTCGAGGCGGGATTTGATAAACGTTCAGTATGAGGATAGGTGGTCCCGCTATGCGCGCTGGTGTTCAGATAGGGGGATTGCAGATCCCTTTTCTGCGGATTTAGTCCGAGTATTGGAGTTTTTGCTATTTCCACTTTTCACACCCCTCTCGATGGTGCTCTTCTGGGGCAGCACCCTCTCATACAGCGCTTTTTAGCTGGCGCAGATCGGGTTCGACCTGCTGTCAGGCGAACCATCCCACCTTGGGATTTGTCTATTGTGCTCGATTGGCTGTCCGGTCTTACGTTCTCACGTCTATCAGCTATTTCCATTCAGTTGTTAACATGGAAGGCTGTATTTCTGGTGGCGGTAACATCTGGGCGTAGGGTTGGCGACTTACATGCTATGTCGTCAGACCCGGTGCTGACTGTGTTCCATTCAGATCGTGTCAGTATTCGCATCCCGGATACTTACCGCCTGAAGGTCGATCACGCTTTCCATGTGACAGCTCCTTCCTACTCTTACCCAGCCTTCCACATTGGGGACCTCTCCTACGAGCACTCACCCGTTGGATGTCCGAAAGACTCTCAAGGTCTATATCAAACGAACACAAAGGGATCCGTCACGGGTACCCATCTGTTCTGCTATTACGGTGGCGGGAAGGCTGGGGTGCCGGCGAACAAACAGACCCTGTCTCGCTGGCTTGTATCGGTCATTTGTGCTGCTTATCAGGCTAAGGGCAAGCCTCCCCCTGAGGGGTTGAAGGCTCACTCGGTCAGGGCAGTAGCCACGTCAAAAGCTTTTGCATCGGCACTACCCATTGAAGAGATATGCTCTGCCGCTATTTGGAGCCGGCCTAGCACTTTTATCAGGCACTATCAGCTCGATACACATTCACGTGATCGTGAGCACTTTGGCCGTTCTGTTCTCTCCAGTGGACAGTGTCCTGCAACCCTGACCGAGTGAGTCTTGGTTATTTGGTTTAGTTGACGCTGCTTTCAATTTTGTTTTATTGATATGTCTGCTGCTGTGTGCATTACCTCCTTTCGATCCTCTACGGAGATTATGGTCGGTAGTGAGTGTTTTTTCCCCCCTACGGTGCTCTCTAACAGACCATAAGGTGGGTGGGGTTGTTTACGTTCGCACTTTGTGCAATCTCATTATGCTTAACCTGCGAGGTCGACTCTCAGTACCTTTCCTCCCTGTCGGTTACCCTCCCATCATGCCTCTTGCGGAAGCTCAAAACGGGACATGTGACAGGTGAGTGATTGTGGCGTCTGTTACATTATTCTTAAAGATCGCTATTTGTGTGTACTTTGACAGAATTCCCTCCTCCCTGGCCTCCGGTCTTTGGGAGTCTGTGTTTATGCATATATGTACCCCAAGGATCTCTATGAAAAATAATTAACCAAACCTGAAGAGGTTATTCAATTCTTTGAAGAGAGTTAGATCCTTGGGGTAGGGCCGCCCGCCTCTCCGCGATTCTGTTCACTGATTTATTCAGCAGAAGGAATGATGATACGGGCCTAGGTGCTTACCTGGTTGGCTGCGCATGCGTAGCGGGAGGTAACTCCACGAGGTGGGGGCCGTATAATAGATAAAAAAGATTTTATTTATTGTACAATATTTGTATTAAAACATTGATACAACTGTCACAGGACATTTTCAGCGTGGAAAATGCATATATGTACCCCAAGGACGACTCTCTTCAAAGAATTGAAAACCTCTTCAGGTTTGGTTAAGTTATTTATTTATGTATATTGTAGCTTTTTGTACGTTATTGACAAGAGACGGGATGAGCGACTATTTTGTATGAGAAACAACTTTTCTGTACATCAGTATATCTTTATGACTTTGATGTTATTCAGAGAGTCAATTTGCGTCTAATCCACACCTTGCTGGAGGTCCTTCCTGATGTCTACTGCTGGTCTCCTCAAGACAGTCTGCAGATACTCAAAACTGGCATTAAACCAGAAGGTATTTAAGGGGGAACAGACTTACCGGTATACAACTTTCCAATCCTGACAAAGTTTATGAAAACATTATACTTTTGCCATCTTTGACTGGCATCCAAATTGTTGATTGACCCAGCTGCCACAATACAGTTTCAACCAAGGTACTAGTTATGCTGAAAACAAACAACATTGTGGAGCACAATCCCTCTTTAAATTTTTAATTGTAATAAGTTATCAAGCCATGCAAGCAAAAATATGTTTGATGCTTTCATACTAAAACTATTCTACCAGTTCAAGATCATGTCAGTGTTAATTTTGTGAACATCTTTTCTTGTAGAGTATGGTGAGAAAGACAGTCTCTTTGATATCATTGAGTTTGAAGGTGAAATTTACCAGCGACCATTTCAATACCTCAAGCGATGGAACAGCAACAAAGGGCTTACTAACATCAACTCACAAGTACCTGAAGGAACACATGAAGAATGTCTAACAGTTCTCCTGCAGTCAGTATTTCAGCAAGTCATATCTCTGTTCTTATTATCATATACATTGCTGGATGTTAATTATTATGATCATGTAAATAGTTTTCAATCGGCTGAAATTAAATACATTTTGGCCCTACACAGACATTAATTTTCTAAATGGCTGTTTTTCACGACTGCGTCTTAGTAATTTTCTCACCTGAAATTGTCTTACTAAGGAAGTTGAACTTTGGCATGAATGTTTCCGAACTTTTATATTCTTGTTCCCACAAATGATGACCCCAGATTTGTTCAAGAGGTGATTTCTTTATACGACTGCCAATGGTGCCACATTGAAAACAAATATTTTTTGCAATTATTATGTCATTTGGGTTAACCATGCAACAGAATTTGGTATCTACTGTAACTCATGAAATTAATGCGAGCATTTTATTAATGCGAAAAATGCGTCTGTACTCTTCTCACATCATTATAGTGATGCATTTCAGTCTAACCATGTCTACTTTGGGGAACTTAATAAAATACAGAAAACGTAAATATCTCGTCATCTTATTGTCTTCAGGTTAGCATTCATCATAACAATACAGAATATAAAAATAATTTAGACATCTCTCATAAAAATAAATGACAAATGAGCACTAATTTCCATGACACTAATTAATATACACTGAATTTATTCATCGGCAAATTATGTAACAATAGCGGAAGTGTTGACACTACACATTACACCAATACAGGTCACTTCCTCATTACAGGTGGTGTCCTGCCGGGAAGGCTAAAATTTATATTTTGGATTTCCCGGGAGAGCTAATTTCCAAGGGAGTAGGGGAGTACCGTCAAAGATACATTGCCGGGAAGCAAAATCCGTGTTGGGAGTAGATAGATTTCTTTTCAAAACATTGTTATAGTATTCGATTCATTTATTACCGTTATCTGTACACTGGTTAATAATATTTTTATAAATTGCACATTTCGATGAGTTGGACAGCTCACTAAAGATAAACTGAATAGCCTGACCATTTTTTCTTTGTTTTATAACTATTAGATATCTAGTGGTAATTCCCGCCTTAACCATATTTAACTTAATCCAATGATTGACAAAATACTTTTTACCTGATACGCCCAATTTTGGACACCATGGGTCTCCACCTCCACTTACAAATACTCATAACAACCCCATAAAAAGCTATATTCAGAAACAAGAAGCTTACACCAATATTTAATCATGCTATATTGCCTTTTAAATACGAGTGGATAACAACCTAACTCGGCATAAACCATGGAATTACATGTTGATTTCTTAACTCCTAATAACCTTTTACAAAAATCCAAATGCAACCTTTCAATATTTAAGCCTTTATTATATTCCCATATCTCAGATACATAAGGTGGTATACTGCCAACATAACATTCAAAGACAAATAAAAGAGATTCCAGGTTGAGAGAGATCGACCTGATATTATTGTAAAATGAGAATCTGTTATTATAATTAAAAACTATTCCTAAATATGTAAACGTATCAACAACCTCGAGGACACAACCATTATATCACCAATGTTCTGACGAATTAACTTTACCACCTCTTCTAAAGACCATTATCTTTAGAAGAGTTTTAGCAATATTTTCTTCAATGTCCTACTGTCTGGAATAAGCTGACAACGAATTCAACTGTGTTTGCAACCTTTCAACAGATTCAGAAAATATTACAAGTTCATCTGCATACATAAGCGGAAACATATTCAAAGATTTAAACTCGCAAGGTATACATTTATCTTTTAGGAAAGACTCCTTAAAATGAACTATCTAATGTTGAATTAAAGAAAATGTATAATGAAGAATAGACGTGAAAATGTGTAAATAACTTTATTTATATTGTTATATGTGTCCAAATTAAAGAGCGTTCGCGTTTATCCTGTTTTCTTTGTAATTTATCAGAGCCTCCGAGTGAGGCGCGCTGTGTTCATTCAGCCATAACATTGTATTGCAAGTACCGCGAAGGCTACGCTCATTGAACTAAGAAGCGTCACAATTTTAGCCTTCCCGGCCATGAACCTTACAGGTAACCCAAGTCACATGTAATTATTACTGGTTACAGTCACTGGTCATTGTTTAAAGTCACTAAAGCCCATCAGGCTGACTGTACATTCTCCAACCTTGCAGGATCATTTCACAATCTAGCTAACCTTTGACATCGCAGCTTCCATCAGACAAGTAGTAGCAAGCAATCACATGATCAAACATGGCAGCGTAATCAAAACATCGTCAACTCATTTCCATTCATTGATTAACAAGCTCAATTCAGGTTATTTGGTAAATAGCAAGTGTGAAAAGAAAATGAACAACATCAAAGATTCAGGGTGTCACATTTTATCGCATTTTAGACTAGACCCTTGCACTTACATTAAATTTGTGACGCATTAATTTCATGATTTACAGTATTTATTTTGTAGTCGGGCTGAACACATAGGTTTTGTGTTTTTCAGATATGTTAAGTTTTGATCTTGCTTTCATTCTTGAGTTTGGAACAGGCTCTTAATTTCTATCAAAATTCATGCATTCTAGCCATCTTGAAAACATTCCAACCAGAAAGCAATGTGTGTCATTGTTAAATGGGTTGTTCATTATCATTTAATCACCTGTAAGCTATGATAATTCAAATATATAGAAAACTGTAGGTGAGCTACAGAGCTTATATAGCTTGATGTTTATGTATATTTCAGACATTGTGGTGTGATGGATCCATCTTGGTCTGAACTTCACAACTTTGTATGGTTCCTCAACACCCAGTTGGTCGACTTTGAGAAATCTAATTTTTGTTCCAATGCTGTCCTTGAGGATTTGCCAGGTTTCCCAGTGTTTGTTCTAAAGTTCCTTATCCAGATGTCAAGGGTGAGTCAAACAGATTACCTTTTCATAAACATAGCAACAACAGACATCTTTGTTAATAATTCTCAGAATACATCCAACATTACACCGTCAAAAATCCTGTAATTTTTCCTTATCCTGACTCATGCTATTTGCTTGTCTCCTTCTTGCGAATGATAGTGGAACACTTGAATCCCTTTTTTAAGCTCCCTTTAAATAAAGCGGACGTAAAATCACTCACCCACGGTTGCCTCCCTTTACTGTTTTGGCGCCAAAATCAGTCACATGATCGCCCATGCTTGTCACTCTCTCCTTCTTCGCCCTAGAGGACGGTTGTGAGAGCGCCTGGGTCCCTATACGGCAGTATATCCTTTTAATTTGAGGCCTTTACCTCAAAATTTAGCTGTATATGGCATTTAGGAAGATATACTAGCAATATGGTTTGAATTTTTTGTCTAAATTATCTGTTTTTTTACGTTGTTGACATGATACTTCATCTTGTTTACATTTGATGAAAGGTTGCAGGTACCAGTTGTCTGCTACTGATCCTCATCTATTATGTCCTAATTGCACTTCTACGTGTTCTTCCAGCTTTCGCTGTCAACTTTGTCAGCACTTATCTGAAATTGAATTCAATAATTATTTATTTTCCATTCTTAGACGTGCTAATGACTGGTCTAGAAGGCATTTACAAGTCAATTCTAAACCGAGTGAATACGCTGATAACCCTTTAATTGTTTGCTGCTAAAATTCACCATTCCAGTGAATTGCCGGTCGCTACTACGGAGCATGTTGCTGTGGCAGAGGGGAGCTCCAGCTCCAGGAAGAGATCGTCAACGTCTGAAGTAGCCTCGTCGCAGTCTAAGAAGACCAGATCATCGTCTTCACAGAAAAAGAAGTTGACTGCAGATAAGACTTCGGTGAAGTCTTCCCCCGGTGCAGCACAGAAGACGAGGTCCTTTTATGCAGAGATCATCCCTCCAGACGAAGTAGACGTGTATGACAATCCACCCATCCTCATTCCTGAAGTAGCAGTTAAGAAGAAGACGAGATCCTCTTCTGCAGTGACATCAGCAGCCATCTCAGCGCAGACAGATGATCTATCAACGCAGACATCAGGTACCAGAGACGGCAGTTCTTCACAAGTGCAGCGGTCCTTGGAAGAAGCCTCATCCCGCTCAGATGCGTCGTCATCTCTGCAGCAGCAGCAGGCGTCGGCGCAGGACTTCAACCTGGGTATCTTCATGCAGCAGTTCACTGAGCAAATGTTGGAGCTGATGGAACGACGCTTTGCGCAGGAGAAGGCTGTGGCGAAGACCCCATCTACGACAAGCCTGCACGAAGAACAAGCAGTCTGCACATCGCATCCTGTTGAAGATAGAAGCCTGCGTGAAGGAGGAAGCCTGCGTGAAGGGTCTCGCACTCAACGATCGTCTATGGCAACTTCCAGAGAACCTGGCAGCCCTGACAATGATGAGCCTGCTGTAGATGTTCCAGAAGAGCCTATCGAGGAGCCTTCATGCAGGAGCAGAACTAGACATTCTCCGGAGCATCGCAGAAGCAGATCACAAGGATCATCTTCGACCTCAGATACGGACAACCATCAGGAGCCTGCATGCAGGCACTCCTCATCCCGTAGAAGAGAATCTACACCGTCACGAAGGCACTGAGATATGTCTCAAGACTCCAGGGAGGAACCTAGCTTATCCCAACCGGTCACCTGCGCGCAGGTCTCCAGGCAGGTCTCCAAGCAGGTCTCCATGCAGATCTCCACGCAGGTCTTTGGGATAGGATTCACAGTGGCAATGATCTTCAGAGCGAGAGGCCACTAGATCTGAAGATGATGGCGGAATCATATTCTCCGATACAGGGATCAAATCTTGGATTGCTAATGGATTGGAACTTGCATCACCTTCTAAAGAGGATAATGAAGCACTCACGTAAAAGATGTGGAACGAAGACTTTGATACGCTCACCCTTCCACCCATCGATCGTGTCTCGGACTAAGTTCCAGAGCCAAAGCGTCCCGCCGTTCAACACCAAGAAGTTCTCACTTCATCACATGGAACCCTTCATGTAGGCCCCAGATGGAACACTTCATGCAGGCCCCAGAGATAGATGAGAACTACAAAATCATCAACGACTCCCGATCTAGGACTTATAAGAGAGAGGATAAGAAGCTGGCACAACTAGATACAACCACCAGACGTACCTTCTTTGGTCTTGCCAAATCAAGAGCCATTAATGAAACCCTCATCGCTAAGTTCAGGAACTCGACCTCTGAAGAGGATCGGATGATTTACTCTGCACTGCTGACCCAAAGGAAGGATCATCAGTTTATGTCCGAACATCTGGCATCTACGTCAGCGGGCCTGACGCTTCGAGAAGACAAGGATTGCTGTCTTCCTGCAACTGGAGTGAGCGGTTCACCACCAAGACGTTGTACAGAGCTCCGTGGTCAGCATCGCCCGTCTTCGCAGGGGAGATTGATGACATAGCCAAAGAAGTTATGAAAGAGTCAAGGGATGTGATGATGATCAAGTCCATCGTCACACTAGCCAGTGTTATCCATCAGACAGCACAACGCTACTCTGGCAAGTCGAAATTCGTGGGGATACAGAGAGCCAGGGAAAAGAAGCATGGCAAGAGACTCTTTTCGTCGCCCAACCGGAGCTCCCAGGTAACCCCAGAAGAGGCCAAGCACCCAGAGGTGCCAGAGGATCTAGGCGCTGATGGACGGGTTCGGAACAACTGGAGTCATCCACCCCCAGCCGTTCCCATACAACCTTCGACAGTGGGTGGACGTCTGCAACGCTACTGGGAGAATTGGGGAATTCTTCAGGACAACTACGTATCCCAGATCCTACGCAAAGGATACAAGATACAACTGCAAGCAGTACCGCCACTTACAAGCAACCCTCTGGACCATAACTACGCTGCCGACCAGATGGAGAAACTACATGATGCCATCATAACTCTACTCGAGAAAGAGGCAGTCGAAGAGATAAAACAGGAGCTCATCATGATCAGCTTTTATTCCCCAATCTTCCTAGTACCAAAGAAAAATTCCAAGGAAAATTTCTGACTCATCTACAACCTGAGGAAATTCAACCAAGATTATCTACGAAGACCCTCAAAGTTCAGGATGATACATCTTCATCAGCTGCGACAAGTCGTTCGTCCATTAGACTACCTCGCCAGCATAGATGTACAGGATGCATATCTTCACATCCATATATATCCGGACTCAAGGAAATACCTACGATTCCTCTTCAACGGTCATCATTTCCAATGGAAGGTGCTACCATTTGGAATATCGTCGGCCCCCTGGTTGTTTACTCGAGTGACAAAGCCCATCATCACATATCTACATCATCGAGGTCTACGCAGTGCGTTTTACCTGGACGACGGGATTCAAGTTCATCAAGATCCCAGTCAAGTCAGACTGCAACTAAACTTCACCATCAGGCTTCTCACTCAACTAGGATTGCTAGTAAATCTCCTCAAGTCGGAACTAGAACCAACACAGGATCTTCAATTCCTAGAAATGCGGCTCCTCACGTCGTTCCAGAGGAGCGTTGGGTCAAGATACAACACATGGTATCTCTAGCACTACTCTCTCCGTTACCACTATGAAGTTGGCAGAGCCTACTCGGTCTTCTCACATCAGCTCAAGACATGACTCGCAGAAGAAGACTACAACTGTGCCCACAACAAGTGTTCGTGAACGCCCATCTTGACAGTCTGGATCCCTTCGTGTTCCCGGACAGTCTGAAACCTATGGTGGACTCGGAAGTCGATGTCTGCGGAAGAACCTATTTATCAGAGCCGGAGTGCAGCACTAATCTCTACGTAGATGCATCACTTTTTAAGGATGGGGAGCTCACCTCGACAACGAAGTGGCAGCATGGAAATGGTCGAGTCGAGTTTGCACATCAACATGCTCGAGATGAAAGCAGTAATAAACGCCTTACTACACTGGTTCAGCATACTAAGGAACGCACAGCTGTTGATCCATACGGACAACTCCACAGTAGTGTTCTACATCAACAAACAAGGATCAACAAGATCAAGAAATCTTCTAGATCTCAGCTTTCATCTGTTCAGCATAATAGACGACCTGAACATCTACATAAAAGCATGCCACATTCCGGCAGCCAAGAATGTGATAGCAGACGACCTATCTCGTCCAACACAACCATCCCCGACGGAATGGATGTTACATCCAGAAGCCTTCCGATGCATCATACAGATCATAGGATCTCCGCTGATAGACCTGTTTGCCACAAAGTACAACAAACAACTACCAACATTTGTCTCTCTGATTCCCGATCCACAAGCATGGGCAACAGATGCTCTAAGCGTCTCTTGGGAAGGACTAAACGCTTACGCGTTTCCACCTCCAGCTCTAATACCGCAGGTGTTGCAGAAAATCAAGCAGATGAAGAAGCTGCAACTGATTTTGGTCGCACTCTATTGGCCGGCGAGGGTGTGGTTTCCCATCCTCATGCAAGAACTGGGAACTCCAACCCTGCAACTCCCAGAGTGGCCGAACCTACTCATCCATCCGCACACCAAGCAAGTACACGGGAATCCCACAGTGTTCCAGTTACACGCATGGAGTGTAACAAAACTTGCTTGAAGAAAAGAGGATATTCCGCTAGAGCAGCAAAAGCGGTGACACTAGCTCTACGTAGATCAACCCGCAACTTGTACGACAACAAGTGGCAGAGATTTGAGGAATACGCTTTGAGGAAGTGCTTGACGGCGATGAAAGCAACGCATTCTCAAGTGGCGGAATACCTATGTCATCTAAGACAAACGAAGCGGTTAAAAGGTTCAACACTCCCTATATACCTAGCGGCCCTCAGCACGGTAATCACCATGAAGACGGGTGTTAAGCTGATCAAAGTACCAGAGATACTGGCACTACTACGCTCCTTCAAGTTGGAAGACCAACAAAACAAGTTTAAGGCGCCTGCTTGGGATCTCATCGTAGTCTTGTAGCATCTCACCAGTGACGCTTACGAACCACTAGAAAGGACATCCTACAAGTTTTTAACACAGAAAACTCTCTTCCTGATCACCTTGGCAACAGCAGCACTGATGTCGGAGATACATGCTCGGGACTTTGAACGAACACAATTTGATGCACATCGTAACATCGTACATCTAGGGCTGAGATGGATTTCATAGCAAAGAACCAGATGCCCAGTCAACCACACAGATAGTTCCACATCCCAGCACTCTCTACAGTCCTTGGGCCACAGGATATGCAGGATCTATCCTTATGCCCAGTCAAAGCATTAAAAGTCTATCTACAAAGAACTAAGACGAGGAGACGAAAATTCAAGCGCCTTTTCATCCCACTATCCACAGAGACACCCACAGAAGTCTCACGTACAGCAATATCCATTTGGATGAGAGCTGTCATCTTAAGGGCCTACGAAGCAGCAGGACATGAGCCTCCACGAGCCTCCAACCCTCATGAAGTCAGAGCTCTGGCATCGGCACTTGCTCTGGATGGAAACTCCTTCATCTTGACGATAATGGAGGGCTGCTTTTGGAAGTCGGAGACGGTGTTTGCCAACCACTACCTCAGAGACATTGCTACCGAGGACATCTTCGGCATTCACCAGTTTGGGCCTCTTGTTGTAGCACAACAATTGACGCTGACAAAGGCGCTGAGATGGATCTCACCCTTTTATCAGGTGACTTGTAAAAGCCAATGCTCTGGAGAGCTAGAGCTTTAGAGTTCAGGTGCACGTCTAGGACAGACCAGCATGAGTTATAGACCCTGTACTTGTAAGGAGTTACTCGTACATGAAGAAGGGTCGCTTCTCCACTTGATGCGAGCATCAAGACATGGAGTTGCATGAATCCACACATAATGCCAAGAGAAGAGTTCCAGAGAATCTGACAAGTTGTGGTCCCCCAAGACTCATCAGAGGAAGCTGGAAGAATAGGATCAGCATAAGTGCCATAAGAAGTTCCCACGGGGGGTATGCAGGACATAAATCAGCAACCTATGAATCCAGAAGTGGCCTGATCCACCACCGGTTCCGTCGGATTCTACAAGCAAATAGCAAGAGTCAGGATAAGGAAAAATATGTAATTTTCTGACTAAAATTGATATTTTATACTTATCCTGACTCATGAGGTCAGCCCTCCCAACCTCCCCACATGGCACTCTGGATTTCCCTGTAAATCCGGGTGTCGGGCTCATATACAGAGAGAGTGACAAGCATGGGCGATCATGTGACTGATTTTAGCACCAAAACAGTAAAGGGAGGCAACCCTGGGTAAGTGATTTTACGTCCGCTTTTTTGAAAGGGAGCTTCAAAAGGGATTCAAGTGTTCCACTATCATTCGCAAGGAGAAGGAGACAAGCAAATAGCATGAGTCAGGATAAGTATAAAATATCAATTTTAGTCAGAAAATTACATTTTTGGCTGCAATCACACAAAAATAATCTTCCAAATTTCCAACTGTTCCCTGCACTTCAAACTGACAACCAGGTATCAAAATAACTGTACTGCTAATTGGTATCAACCTTTTCAACAGGGTGGTGTTTGAAACTTTACATTTGTAAATCAGACTTTTAGCCAGTAAGAGCATCAAACATTTCATCTGAAACAAGATTCAAGGCTAAGGTTTACATTGCTTACATGTGTACAATTATCTTTCACAATGTCTGACAATATCTTCCAGGAAGTTTCAACATAATATTGTCAGGTTTTCTGATCCAGAGAAATAGGATTTTGATACCTCTTATAGATACCTCACAGGGATTGTTTCAAAACTTCGGACAGCCATTTTCTATGCTTTAGAAACTAAAGATCTTTTCAAATATGAACCTTTCTCTGGATAAGTCCAAGCTCATTAGTTCTCCCTGCCTCAAGAACTAAAATGAAGGCCTAAACTCTGAGGCATATATCAAGAAAACATATTTGTATTTCAAGCAAGCATGATGCCTTCTTACTTAAAAACGGCTAAATTTAAGAAAATATGGACAAAATAACAGGTTTTTTGTTTGTTTGTTTATTTTTAGCACTGTTTTTTTTGGGGTGCTAAATATGCCTATCTATGCATAGGTTAAAATCCAAGATAAGACCCTGAATATGAATTAGAATGTATTCTATGCTTCATATTTTAGAATATTGCAACAGATGTCTAATGTATCGGACATTCTCTCCTTCTATGAACAAAAACAATTTGTATTATGATGCTTTGGTGCATTCAGGATTCAGATCATTCTCTTTCATTTTTCACAGGACTTTGCAACGAGATCTTTGGTGATGAGTGAGCAGACGCCTCTGGATCAACTGAATGTCCAAGAAACCATAGACCTAGCTCAGTTTCAGATGAAGAGAAAATGGGAGAGCAGGTGTGGATTTGTCTAGTGTCATATATCTAAAGTGGAAATGGTCTGTACAGTTAGCTTACAAAACAATAATTACAAAGTTAAAACAACTATAACATTAATCCGATTTCATCAATTGTTCTGCTCTTATGAATGTAAGTGTATCTAAATGCTGTTGATGTACAGTATTGATCCTTTTTCTTCAGCCCTCATCCCTACATTTTCTTCAACCCTGATGGCCACACAATGACCTTTCTTGGCTTCAACATCAACCGCCAGACAGGGAACATGGTGGATCAGCAGACAGGGAGGGTGCTGGAGAGAAATCTAGTGCCCAAACCACTACAGAAAGCACTGATCAGAAACAAGGTCAACATGAATGAAAACTTTGAACAGATGAAAAGGTTAAACATCTTTCTATATATGTATATTTAATAGGTTAGGTAATGATGTAATCATATCTGATAAGCCACGTACAAATCTTTAGCCAACTACCTAGATGATAGATTTATATGAGAGTAGATTTATACCAGAAAATTATATTTGTTGATTTCAAATCTAGAAACATTGCAGGTATTGAATTGGTGTGTTCCTTCATGACCAAAAGCACTGACTGTTTGGTAACAGCAGAAGTGATTAGTAATGAGGATTTGGCAGAGTCTTCATATTTTCAAGAGTGAAATGAATGAACTCATTGATAAATGAAAATAAGTTTTAATACACATAAGTTTCCTTTCCTGTACCCACACCATGAATTACATCATTATCCCCCGCCGCGCGTTTTGCGCGAAGCGGGGGATATAGTATTAGGGTCCGTCCGTCCGTCCGTACGTGCGAATTCGAATATCTTAAGAACCGTTGACTAGATTCTTTTCATATTTGTTACCTAGGTTCATCACAGTATAAGAAAGGTCCCAGTCAGATTTGGTGACCTTGACCATAAGTTCAAGGTCACAAGGAGACTTTAACGTTTTGCTCTTGTCAGCAAGATATCTCAAGAACCGTTCACTAGATTTTCTTCATATTCAATACCGAGCTTTATCTACGGTAGGCGCAGGGCCCACTTGATTTTGATGACCTTCACATAATTTTCAAGGTCATGGCGACACTTTGAAGATTTCAGCAGATTAACCTGCATGTTATGCTTGTCAGCGAGATACGTCCAGAACCATTCACTGGATTTTCTTCATATTTGACGCCAAGCTTCAGGGAAAGTGCAAGGCCCAGTCTATTTTGGTGACCTTCGCTTAATTTTCAAGATCACAAGGACACTTTGAAGATTTCAGCATGTTAAATTGCATATTAAGATAGTCAGCAAGATATCGCAAATACCATTCACTGGATTTGTTTCATATTTAACACCAAGCTTTATCTAATGAAGGTGCAGGGCCCAGTCAATTTTGGTGACCTTCACATAATTTTGAAGGACACTGTGACACTTTGAAGATTTCAGCATGTAAACCTGAATTCACTGGATTTTCTTCATAGACTTTCAAGACTTCCCTTGAATGTTCTTTAGTACCTTTTTTGCATATTTCATACACTATGACATTCATGTCAAGGTCAAAGCCAGTCTTGAAAATATTTGTGTGTTTGAACAACTAAAGAGCAAGATATCAATAGCGGTTGACTGGTCATGTTTTTGTTGACATTTAACTTCATCTTAAACTTTTATTACTTTTAAAGTTTGATTTGATAATTTGCAGCGGAGGATTATGTCATCTTAGTGACAATGCTTGTCTTACTTGTTTTCGCCTCTATAGTTAGTTCCAAAATACACGCAACAACATAAGATGGTAATGTCATTCAGATAGGAAATCCAAGCATTGGGATGTTAAATACATTGCAGTTTGTAGCTCCAAAATTAGACATTTTTACACTTCCTCTACCTCTACATCATTGCCATACATCCAGCATTATGGCTGAAATCCAACTAATCTTCACAAGTTTCAGAGGTCCTTTTCACTGTCAGCTACACACAACCAGTTGTCAAGTCAACAGCACTGGCAATTAGTATTTATCTCTTCAGCTTGATAAGGCAGGAAGTTGTGTGCAAAATTCACTTTATGTCGGAAAGCGCAGGTTAAATCTCCAAATTATCATCAAGGCAGGAAAAAACAAATAATGATAGTAATAGTAATGCACTTGTTGAGTGCCTGATATCCAACCGCTCAGGGGTGCTTAACAGTGTCAGTGGAAATAGGTAGGTTTTCAGTTGTTCCTTGAAAGAGTCCAGTGAAGTGCAGGATCTAATGTCGATAGGAAGAGAGGTCTAGAGAATAAGGGCATTGGCTGAGAAGGCTCTGGCTGTCTTGGAGTCTTGGCACTGAGAGTTGGCATTTGCTCTGTGATCTGAGAGTTCTTTTTGGTTGGTAGTGATGGATGAGATATTGTGGTGATTGAGGATCGTTCAGGGTGGAGTCTTTCCAATTGTTTATCACCCAGACTGTTATCAGTACTAGTAGTTACGGAAAACACTACATATCTCTAATGACAAGAGGAAATTCAATCTTTCTGACTCTGAAGTTAATAATAATAGTAATAATGCTAATCCAACCCGATGCTGCTCTCTGGCATTACATTATTACCCTGATGTAATCGTACTTTCAAAGCTGCTACTTAGTGCTTCACACGACCGTATAGGTCTGTACGTCCGCTTCTCAGGTTCCCATTTTAAACAGCTGGGTGGACTGAGTGCAATGTAGGCGAAGTGCCTTGCCCAGGGACACAACACAGTATGAGACCAAGGTCACAAATTTTGGTGTCTCCACCGGGATTCGAATCCGGGCCTTTGGCATGAGAGGCCAGCATGCTAACCACTACACCACTGTTATCCTCATAGCCCCATCTTGACCAAACAGATTCTTCCCTGTCCTCATGGAAGATCCACTTCTACTACGACTACATTAGGAACTATTTACCACTACATTAAGAACAACTTCATAAGATATTTTTCAATTCTTAAGCTAAATAATCAAGTAGGATTATTTTTGGATCCTTTGTGAAGTAGTATCAGTATTTGATGTGCCCATCAGCCTGGTTTGCAGAAAACATTTTTCTGAATAAATACTTTGTGTTGCTCTGCTGTGGACATTACATGAATCATTGTTTCATACAGATTCAATGCTACTTGTACACTGGTCAGAATTTGATAATGCTTGATACTATAATGTCATGGTAGGATGGATCCATTCTATAGGTTATCACGTATCTTCCAAGACCATAAGAACTTAAACACTAGCATGAACATATTTGGTTCTTATAAATTGCATTTTTCCATTTACAGACACGATCGATTGGCTAAGCTGTGCAGTGTGATGCCAGGTGTCGACTTTGTACATGACCCGGATGACACATATGAACTGACAACAGACAATGTCAAGAAGATTCTGGCCATTTACATGAGATTTAGGTGAGTGTTTGCCAGCCAAGTCAAATGTCATCATGTAAATATTGCACAAAGGAAGCCACAGGCTACTTTACAGATCATGCCTTTGCAATACCAGGCCAAGGTTGCGTATGTGGCTGTGTGCCCAACACAATATGTGACTATTATGGCTGCCAAACAAAGCTATATTGTGATTCCACTGGTTATCAGTTTCTCACTTGAAGCTGGTAACTCTAAACACAAGTGGTAAGTAAGGAAGAGAGTTTTTATGGATGTCAACTTCTTTATTATGATAAACAGGTTTATCATAATACAGAAGTTGACATCCATAAAAACTCTCTTCCTTATGTGTTTCACTTCTAAATGCCATTCCCGCCATATAGCTTGTCAAACTCTAAATGCCATTCAAAGACCAAGTGGTAAGTAAAAAGTTTCCTTATTTGATATTTCTGTCATCACTTAAAAATATTGAGTAAAATATGAAGAAGACAAACTGTGCAATGAGATAAGTAGAAAATATGACATTCCCAAAGCAAGAGGCATGTGTGAAAAGCCTTAATAATAGTTGTGACAGATGTAAATGGATGCTGCTGATGACAGCTCCAAACTAATGCACTGGACACAGCAGGATGTGATAACCCAGAAATAGGTTAGGAGTAATGGTGTAATTAAAGTGTGGCTTGTATATATGTAATAAAGATATTTAGTAGCTGTACTAAATATATTACAGATCTACCAGATTCTTATAGGATATATTGCTGTGTACCTGTTTGTATAGATGTGGAATCCCAGTGATAATCATGGGAGAGACAGGATGTGGGAAGACAAGACTGGTCAAATTCATGTGTGATCTGCAGTGCTTGCCAGGCTCTGACATGGAAAATATGGTCATTGTGAAGGTAAAGGTGTAATAATACATGTTAGAGAAGGAACTTGGTGGATGACATCATCACCATATGTAATTCCAAGTTTGATCTTCATCAAATGGAATTCAAATTTGTGTGTCATCATGATATGGACATGTTTTATATCACATGCTTATGATAATTTACACACATATTTTCAAAAAGAAATCATTATTAAAATTAAGGATCAAGGTCATTAAAGTGGAAGTACATTTAACTTTCGCTTACATGTACATGTATCAAGAGGCTTTTTGAAGGTTCTTAAGAAAGGACATTCTGATGCCCTAAATTTGCAGTGATGCCATTATACTGAAAGTGTAAGTGTAAGTTAGGAAGCATAGGTCTTACTCCATTAGACAACCTTGGGGATGAAAGATGAAAAAAGGTACTAGTAAGGTCATATTTAACTTTCTTAAGTACTAAGACAGGTTTGAAATAGTTTGACAATGAATGTCATCTGACCATAAATGCATGTGTTTTAGTGTTGAAAGTTATCTTTGAAAGGTTCATGGAGGCACAACCTCTGAGGACATCATCAGGAAGGTCAAGCATGCAGAACAACTCGCCATTGCTAATAAGGCTAATAACCCTCACCTGTACACTGTCCTGTTCTTTGATGAAGCAAACACAACTGAGGCCATTGGACTCATCAAGGAAATAATGTGTGATGGCTCTATGGATGGACAGCCACTGAAACTGTCAGAAAACCTAAAGATTGTAGCTGCCTGCAATCCTTACAGAAAGTATGTTTGAGTACATAAGTGTTATGGTATTAGGTAAACCTTGGAAAGGTCATTAGTTTCCATACAGGTAGAGCCATTGCACATTTGCAAATAGTCAAAATTAATGCATTCAGTTTCTCATGCCATTGTAGCATCTTGTTTATAAAACAATAAATACCAGTAGGTGTTTATTATCTAAGACATATTAAGCTCTACCTTCATGGATAACATACAAGTAAAGACTTGGTATGACTTATAACTGTATTGTCCATGTGTGATTTAAATATTTAATTCCTGTTGACTGCTCTGACCTTTCTCTAGTGAAATTTGGAGCTTAAGTTACTTAGAGAATTTGGTGTATGGTTTTAAGTATTAAGGTTTAGCAACATCTAAATCTACTTTAAATATCCATCTACATGATCTATAATTGCAAAATTTAGTGTTGTTAGCAAAGATAATTAATGAGTCAATGGCATTGGTCTAATATTTTGAGTAGGTTGTTGATTTTAGTACAGGAATCACTAAATATGTAGCTGTATATAATCAGCATTATGTGGAATAAATACCACTCAGATCATCATAGGCTTGCAAAATTGAATTCTACACTGTACATAACCATATAATAAATGTAGTGGATACATGGAAAGAACTTACAGTTACAATCATTTGAAGAAATGTTGCTGGTAATGGTTGTGAGATAATAATTATCGAATTGAAAACTCACTGCTATCAGTAATGAATTATGTCAGTAGAAGTATCAGTCTTTACAGATGATATGAGTTAGATGGGAAATCTCGATGTTGTTCACATTTGTGAATCAGTAGTGCCTAATAGCACCATGATTTGTCAACATTCATTCACTTCATGAGACTGTGTATGGCAGCCTTACATGTTGATGCACATATATCCCTTCCATGTCTTAGACTTGATGTTCATTTCAGCATCGTCAGACACAGTAAAACTACTCATCTGAAAACATGGCGTGCAACAATTATCCCCGTATTGACGTTGTTTACATCATTGACATGCATTTGGTATTATGACAATTTGTAAGGTGTGGCACAACATGTGGCCACTGTACATGATAACATGCCGGCATAGTTTGAATTGGTTAATTCTGTACTTTATGTATTTCACATGAGGTCAGTCATTACCATTTTGAACCTATTGGTACATGTTCCATAATCTGCCATAACCTGCGGACTGCCATAACCTATAAAGAATTCCATGAATTGCAGACACTGCATGATAAATCAAACTCAAACAATGAATGAAAACAGATGAATCAACAGTATATTGTAAGCAAATCAACTTGCTTGACAGAAACCACACAGATTCATCTACCTTCGTTGAAATGATCAAAGTCACTAAGATTGTTTGAAATCAGTGTTGTAAACTCCCCAAAATTTCAGCCAGACAACTGGTCTGGTAACTCTCAAAAGTTACCAGACTGGCTTGAAAGTTGCCAGTCCAGAATTTTCTGGATCAAGAAAAATAAAAAGAAGGTTACGTTAATAAGAGGAGGGAAATGTTTAATGTCAGGTTATTGTCACAATAACACACGTTTTCAAATGTTTTTCAGTCAAGGCTTTATTCATTATATACATTACAAAATTACACTGATTTAACAACCAGACCATCGGGCGTGCAACTTTTTATTGAAATACTATATACTATAAGTCATTTTCATGTATTTTTCATTTCAATATACATGTATCTTGCCTACATTATGCTTTTGTCTCTATGCAAAATTCTTTTGATATTTACTCCACAGTGAAGTGGTATTCAAATTAGTTGTTATTATTTGTTTTTTGTTATTTTTAACCTATGATTGACAAAGTATTTTCCCTATAATAACTGGACTATGGTATAACGACAGTATTTCAGGTATGTTGTTGGTGTTCGGACAATGTTTTTCCCTGACAATTGGGAATTCAGTTTCACATAAATGAAAGTACTCAAAGATCTTTGACTAACTTTTGCTAATGTTTACAAACAGACATTCGGATGAGTATATTCAGAGACTTGAAAAAGCAGGACTTGGCTATCATGTTGAGGCTGACAAGACAACAGATAAGCTGGGTAAGTGAGTCCACTGGAGTGAATTCTGAAAGTAAAATGGTAAAACTGAAAATTGTACTTTGATTATGGAATTAGTAGAAATGGAATCCCAGACAAATTAATGACAAACTGTCTTGTTCATCTATTCATGTATGGTACTAACAGAGTAATTGATGAATAAGGATTTATGGTTAAGACATGGATATGATTGTGTTGATGATCAACCATGAAATGCAGATTGCACTTTCATATTTACAGTTTTCAGCAAAGAAATGCATTTCAATGTGTATATGTACACTAGGTATTTTCATTATTTTGATATATTTAGGATGTTTCCAAAATTAACCTACTTCACATAAACGGTATCTGTTTTAATATTACACTAACTTTACATTAAAATTTGGTTCCATTAATGTTTTACACATTGAAGTATTTTAGCCATACAGATTTGTAATTGTAATTTTTTGTAGTTACTGAAGCAAAATAGTTATGTCATGTTACATGTGTACATGTGATTATTTTCTATGTCCAGGCCATGTCCCTATGAGGAGACTTGTCTACCGGGTGCAGCCCTTGCCACAGAGCATGCTTCCTCTTGTTTGGGACTTTGGCCAACTCAACGTTCAAGTGGAAGAACTCTACATCAGACAGATGGTCAACAGATATGTGAGATGATTTCACTGTTTCATAGCTATGAAATGAGCGCTGAAGTCAACTCTTGATCTGTTAAGCATGTCTGCTTGTTGGTAGTAATATTTAACATATGAAAGATATTCTTTAATCCAGATGATATAGTCCACCTCTTCATCTGATAAAAGAAGTGGGTCACTGTGCATTGTTGCTCTGTAAAATTATTGTTACACAGCTTTTAAAAATATTTTGAATACATTCAGACAGAACACAACAAAATTAGAATTGAGTAATGTCATTATTTAAATATTTTATCTATATCACCACACTCGTTCACTTTTGAGTGAGTGAGTATGGTTTTACATCACTTTTAGCAATATTCAAGCAATATCACGGGCAAGTGACACCAGAAATGGAATCACACATTGTACCCTGTGGGGAATCTAACCCGGCCTATGTGACCACATGCCTCTCATTCACTTTTTATGTTACAGCAATACATGACCTTTTAAAAACTAGGATATAATTATTTTATTTTATTTTTATTTTTACACAGGTAACACTGTATGCTATGATATACTGGTAACTCTTTATCTATAATTCTTGACTGCACCATTTTCAAATGGACAATAAAGTGACTTTAAGTCTGTTTCAAAGGACTTCTGATTCACAGCAATTTAAACACTGATGTTATAGGGGTAGAATTCTTAAAGCTATCAAAACTGCTAACTATTGTTTGACATGAATATGACTAAAATGTTGATGCATCATATTTACCATAATCATATATGTTTGGAATTATTGCAGGTTCGAAATGGCCAGATACCTGTACTTGGTAGTATTGTGTCAGTTGTCAGTAAGGTCCTCATAGCCTCTCAGTCTTTCATGAGGATACAACAGGTATGTTTGCTTCAATTATATTTTGTAGTGTAATC